TAAAATGTTAAAGCAGATATTTCTATGATTCGCTCAAAATACAATTTTGCACTACATGGAAATATCAACCATCAGCTCCAGGATTTTACAAATAATAAATGATTTTCCTCTTAAGAGTATTTTGAAGAAGGAAAACCCTTCTATCACACAAAACATTATGATATTCTGATTTATTTCTTTTTTACTTTATTAAGATATTAAGATACCAATTCAATGTGTATATGGCATTTAGTATATTCAGATTAATTTTTTTACCTGGTTGTTATGTGAATGACAAAGGGTTACATGTATATTAAAGGTAACTAGGGGAAAACCAAAAGAGTCCAAGATTAATGTCCAATGTCAAGGTTAAAAGGTCAACTTGTTTTATTGAAAGGAAGGTCTTGTCACAAGAAATATACTTGTGGAATATTAAAGCTCTAGTGCTAATTGTGCAAAAGATATGGTTAGAGATTTTAAGTGGGTCATGCTCTAAGGTCAAGGTCTTAAATACTTATACTTTGACATGGAAAGGCTACATTACAACAAAACACAAGTGAAGTTTGAACTTCCTAGGACCGATTGTTCAAAACTGAAGGCCATATGCATAGTAAGAGTTTAGTAAATGTGTGCATAAGTAAGGCAAACTTCAATGTAAAGATAAAATCGAATATGTTACCAAAAAAGTTCTTGTCACGAGGCATACACATGTAAAATATGAAAGTCACAGCTCTAAAATCTCTCTAAAATGTTACGGACAATGATAAAATATTTGGAAGACAAACAAGCAGACGGACAGGGCAAAAACTAAATACCCTAGATCCTTTCATCTTTAGCTCTTTTATTTTTGCAAATGAAATATGTGGAGATACCGAAAAGAAGTTGAAAAGAAGAGTACATTAAACAATACAAAACAGGAAAATGCAAACCTGCTCCTTAAAACTACACAGGTGAAATTAGGTGCCATAGAGAAGTGAACATCCCCTGATTATCGGTCACACCCGCCGTTTGCTCCTTGTCATTTTCAGGAAAAAAGATGGAGGGAATCCCTCGAAAATTCAGTGTGTATATAACGGACTAACAATTAGTATGAAAAAAGTCAGTCATCATTTGACTTAATGACATATTGTATCATTGTCTCCAGGTCATTGTATCGACCATAGAACTTACGAAATGATTACTTTAAACGAGACAGCTGATTCTATTCTTGATTCATTAACGTGTTTGTCAATAGCCTCTCTCGTTTTAGTATTGTTCATACGTAGAACATGCTCTTGCGTATCGAATCAACTGATAGACATAAACTCCATGTGCAGGTGACAAAGGTATATTGCTGCATAAGTAATGGAAATTGACGATTGAAACGTTAAATTCATCACGTTTATCATATTACTCTGTTGTTAGATAACTTTTTTTCTAGTAGATATATCCAAATATAAACAAATATATCAGACTCTGTGGTATAACTATTCTATTTTAAGCTAAGCCGGATATATCTTGTAGAAATAAGAAATGGAAATAACTATTGTTAATTGACTTAACATCGTCGATATATTGCAATGTCGAGTTGATGCCCATATCATGTACATGTATTTTCTTCTTTTCACGTAAAAGATTTTGAACAAACTGCTTCATATGATTACAAAAAGAAGTCTGCTAAGAACGGGGTGCCATTGGTACCAATGGAGATTCCAAAAGACTGTTAGAAGACCTGATCTCCTGAAACCACAAAGATATTGTTAATCAGAAAGGCAAGCATCTTTTCATATCAAATTCTGAATACATGTGTGTACAATCAGATTGTTTTTTATATATATAACAACATCAAAAAAGTAATTTTGAAAATGACTGATAACAAAGTACAGTTTAGGTAAATTTAGGAGTTTCATTAAAGAAAAAAGCAGCTGTCAATGATGTCAAAAAGTCTTGGCTTTAATTCATGGGGAATAAATGTACTATATTAATTTGAAAATTCGTAGGTTAAAATTTTTAACGAGGTTGATATAGAATGACCTTTTCGACTGATAACCTTCCTTTTGCTGTGTTCTATTTAGACAAGTTATCATTTTCTTTAATAGGTAGAGAAATTTTCTATCAAATTCTGTAAAATTAAATAACGATGGGATGTTAAAGAATATACAATCAATCAATCAATCATTAAACAAGAAAGTTTACTAGAATCAGCGTTTTCATATGTTGACTTAATTTAAATCGTGTACATCACTAATTAAAAAAAACAGAAAAGAAATTGCTTCAACACAAATTGTGAACGAAATTTTCCGTTAGTCTTATCATAACAAGGACCGGTCGGCAGGGGATGCTCACTTCTCCATAGCACCTGATCCCACCTCTGATGTTTTAGAGGATCAAGTTTGCTCTGCTTCTGATTTGTACATGTACATTGTTTTAAAGAACTTTTGATTGATTGATTGTATGTTATTTGAAGTCCCTCTCGAGAAATTTTCACTCATATGTAGACATCACAGTATACCGGTGAAAGGGCTTCAAATTTAGACTAATATTCGGCACTCAGGGCCATTGACCAGTGAGGATTCTTTAACGTGCCTACGCGTACCGCGACACGGGACCTACGTTTTCAAGTTCATAATTATCTGAAAGACCAGAGACTTTCACTTCTAATGCTGAGCGTTTAGCGAAAGAACAGTCACAACCTATGTTTACATTTTTCGCGTATACCGGTGAAAGCGCTTCAAATGTAGATCAATACACGGCACTCAGGGCCACTGACCAGTGAGGATTCTTTAACGTGCCTACGCGTACCGCGACACGGGACCTACGTTTTTAAGGTCATATCCGGAAGACCAGAGACTTTCACTTCTAATGCTGAGCGTTTAGCGAAAGAACAGTCACTACTTATGTTTACGTCTTAGGATTGACGCGGCAGTGCGAACCAGAATCGACCCCAGACCTCCAGATCAAGAAGCAAACGCTCTACCTCTAGGCTACCCTAACTGGTTTAAAGGGCTTTTGAGCATGATTACTGTTTTCCAACAGTAAACTTTCTTTACGTTATAATGAATGTAGTTGTATAAAAACTTCAGTCAAACATATGAAGGGCCTGACAATCCATGGAACATCTTTAGTTCCGGACGGAGAGTTTTAAACGAGAGAAAAAAATCTTTTTAAAATTATTTTTGCATTCTTCTCTTATTTCATTTATAGTTTATTTTCCATTAATGGAATCTCTTTTTAAATAAATATTAAAGAAGGAAGTACTTGATTATTTTCAACTTTTTTAAAGATTGTTTTCTACGTTAAAAAGTTCAATGCTTAATGTGGCCTTTGCATTTCATGCACAAAGTATTAGATCTATAGTATTGTCACAGGTCTAAAGAATACTAGTAAACAGATAAAGACGCTGTTCAGGGTTCACTGGTTTATTTTATTCTGTTTGATCGAATGAACGAGCTCTAAAATTAAAAATATAAAAACGAAACATGTAAATCTGCAAAGCAAATACATGTAATTACTAACATGTACAAACATAAATCACATGAAATATAATGATATAACATAATGTTCAATATTATGCTTTCATGATAAATGTGTACTCTGAATAAAGGGCAATAACTCTTAATTTCAACTGAGCAGATTCATAGGGCTTTACAGATAAAACATGAAAATAGAAGTATAAGCCTGGTAAATCAAAAATATTTGTCAAACATGCTTTATAACCTATAGCTTAATTAACCAATTCAAAATAATAAAAAAAAATTCTAAAAAATAATACATGTTCTTAACAAAGACAATGTGTCTGGAGGCTTTTAATGATTCAGATTTAATTTACATCAAATGGGAAACCAGTACCTATAGTCATCAAAATAATATAAATAAATCTTATTAATATGACCTTACAACAGTATTTCAACGCAACCTGCCTCTGCATGTACCGCTTTACACCGTTCCATTTTTTTTTTTCAAGAATTGGGTTATCAGTCTATTGTGGTTTTGCTTTGGTGCGATGAATGACAAGCAAACCATTTCCCCTCAATATGACTTTCCGTGTTTGTGTTTTGATTCTGTTCTCCTCCATTCATCTCTCTGTGTGTATGGAGGATCGAATTCAATATCTGGAAAGACTTATTGTACAACTGCAGGAGAATCAACTAATATGGAAAAAAGAGATGTATACAGTCAGAAAAGAAAACGCAAAATTGAGAGAAATAGTTGAAGACTTAGAAACCCGTTTGATTTCCCAAGAAAACAGAATAAAACTATTTGAAAATGGTATCGAAGAATGTCAGAGCAATGATAAGGACTTACATGTACTTTCGAAAGAAACTAAAATAATGACGACATCAGAGGAAATAAACCTAAATACCCCCCAAAACCCACCAGAGAGACAATCTAAAAGTCTGGAGCCCATCCCTGCTGGCAGATTGAAACATCCAAGAATAAATACGGTTATTCACGGTAAGAAAAGAATATTATTTTATTAGTAGAATTAATATTTAATTAAGTTGAAAAAGAGATTCAAAACAAAACATTAGGCAATTTAGAGACGGAATTCTAATGCCCCAAAAAGTACTTTCAAAACTTTATTTTAATTTCTTGCGAATAAGTCGCATTCTAAAATTCTTGAGTTTTTTTTTTTACACAAATTTAAGTCTTTTTTAATTTTAGATTAATATTGTAAATAGAACGTTTATCACTGGAACTCGTTAAATTTCTGCAACACCTTATTTTAGCGAGATAAATTTCCTAATCTAATCAACAACTATACTAATTACATTGTCTAACGATAGATAATTTTTACAAATTATAGTTATCGACAATAAAATATCATTAATGCATGAAATATGGAGATAACGAACAGTATTCAAGCTCAAAATACCACATTAAAGAAAATACTGGCCTCTTAAACATGGGATCAGGTGCCATGGAGGAGTAATTAATTCCCTGTCAATCGGTCACACCCACCGTGTGCTCCTTGTATGTCAAAATTAAAAAAAACCGTGAAAATGTATATAATTTCTGATAATTGATTTTTTTTCATTAAGATTCAGAAAACATCGCCTTCTTCTCCTTCCTGAGCCAAAGCCAAGACACTCCAAGCCATAGTCATATAATAGTGTTCGACTCTGCTCCTACAGACCCAGGAAACCACTACAACAGATTCTCCGGCATATTTACAGTACCAAAATCTGGAACTTACGTCTTTACATGGACAATATACTGCGATTATCACGGATTTCTCAACACTCAGCTAATTATAAACCAAGATGTATTTGTCAGTTCATACTGCAATGCGGACGGTGTAACTTGGTATAAGTCCTCCACTGCAACTGCCGTAGCCAAAGTTACGCAAGGAGATGTTGTTTTTATTCGAACCCATTCCTCAGAGACAAATAAAGGGCAAATACTTAGCAATCACTACCTTAAAACTACTTTTGCAGGCTGGTTTTTGTTTTAGATCAATTGATGATAATATATTGCGTTACTTTAAAGATTAAATGAGCTTCACATATTCTTCATTCATGCATTATCCATGGACGTAGGAACCAGGGAGGGTTGTGTGCCCCCAATAAAATTCCCGATATATAAAATATTATACAAATCTAAGCTATATATGCTTGTGCAATTGTGCCCATCAATAAAAACCTGATGACCCACCCTTTTTTGTTTCTTGATAAAGAATATTTGGTTGTTAATACCCCATCCCTTAAGTAAAATTGCTTCCTATTGGTCCCTAATCAACCTCCATTACCTAAAGGGGTGTGTAAAATCCAGACTTTTATTCGAATAAATGTGTTAAAAAAAAAACAAGATGTGTTTGTGAAACACTGATGCCTGCGTATTGCAGCTTTTGGCGAGGATTGAAATTTCTCAAATGTAAATTACACTCCAAGGTTAAGGCCACACTGTTGGTACCCGAAGAAAGACATTCTCATCGTGAAATATGAAAGCCCTAGAAATTGACCCACCGACGCAAAGGTTATGGACAAGGTAAAAGTTTTTGCAGTCAGACAGATAAACAGCTAGACAGAAAGGATGGACACGGCAAAAATTATATATCCCCGAATTTTCGATTACGGGGTCATAAAAAAAAAAACTCCATTACAAATGAAAATAAGAAGGATTGTCATCATTAATTCATTTGGAGCCCATTTTGATAAAAGATCTGTCTCAATTAAGCTTTTCTGAATTTGTTGCTTGGTGTAAACTATAGACTTTATCTGTACCTCTGTTAACTTTTTACATTTTCGACTTCTTCGCCATGTAGGTCAATGAAAGGTCACACATGCATTTTTTGTTAAACACGTATGCACATAAAACAATCTGATATTCTGTTTTAAAAAGCGACACTTTATTAAGTTATTAGGATATAATCAATTTGTATTCGACAGTAATTTGCACCAGGGTTTACACTTTCTGTCTCTTCTAATACTAACTCTTCGGTTTGACCAGGTTCATCATCACCCATTTCATCTGTTTCAAAACTAAGTCTCTGAGATCCATAGTGTCTTAACCTGTCAATGTGGATGACCATGGTTTTCTTTTCACCCACTTTCTGCACCCTATAAGTCAGATTGGTATGTTTTTCATCAATTACATGAGGCCTATACCAAAAGTTCATTAATATAGGCGATTTCCCTATACTTCCGAGGAATAAATACCAAGACCTTGTCACCAATTTCAAACTGTTTTTGTTGGCATTCCTATCAATGTATCTTTTCTGTCTCAACATTGACTAAATTATGTGAACAGTCGTGTATTTCGATGAGCCTCTTCCATGGTATCTCGTAAATTTCATGCATATCCATGCACAGACGTTCTTTCACGATCCAAAGGCAGTTCATACATAATATTTAAAGGGGTCGAAACTTCCCTCCCTAGCATAAGCATGTTAGGGGTGTACCCCGTGCTCTCATGTACCGCAGACCGGTAGGCCCTCAATACATATGGTAAATGTTTGTCCCAATCATGCTGATGGTCTGAAATATATGCAGTTAACATAATGGCAAAAGTCTTGTTAAAGCGTTCAACCATTCCATCCGACTTCGGGTGGAAGGTCGTAGTTCGAGTCTTGTGAATACCAAGGTTACAAAGTTCTTTAAACAAACGGCTTTCATACTGTCTACTTTGATCACTATGTATCACTTCTGGCACACCAAACCTGGTAATGAATTGTTCAACAAGCATTTCTGCTACAGTTAGAGCCTCCATATTTTTGAGTGGGGTTTCCTCCGTTCATTTAGTAAAGTAGTCTGAAACTACAAATATATATTTATGACCATCATTAGTTTCTGGTAATGGCTCCATTAAGTCCGTCGCCACGCGTTCCATGGGACGCCCCGTCTGATCAAGTTGCATAAATGATAACCTGCAGCACGGTTCTTCCTTTTTCTACCCTGTGTGCAACCTAATGCATAGCTTCTTACGTCGCGCTGAAGCCCAGTCCAATAGAAGCGCTCTCTGACTCTTTCAAGAGTCTTGTTGACTCCATGATGTCCAGAGGTTTAGAGATTCTGGCGTCATGGCATTGCTGCAAAATATTTTTTCCTTTCAGACAAGGGGACAATCACCTGGTGATATGTCTTTTTATCACCTATCCATTTTCTACACAAAAGGCCATATTTAATTTATGATTCCACTAAAAGCATACTGATTTAACTACTTTGCTTCCATGATTGATATCTGAAGACTCTGGACGCATTTTATTTTCTACCCAACATTTTATCTTTGATAGATCCATATCCTCATCTTGAAGACTTTGTAGAGGAACTGGCATTGTAGATATAGCGTCCACTTTACAGTCTGTTCCTGAAATCTGAGGTTCAGCATTGGCAGTTGAAAGGTTTTCCTCCATGACCTCAGAATACCCACATTGGTGACATGGATGTCAACTTAGGCTATCAGCATTACCATGCTTCACACCAGGTTTGTGCCTTATATCGAGGTCATAGGTACCGAGAAACTATTCATCTCGCTACCTGTCCCTGTGGATCTTTAAAATTGAACAACCACTTAAGAGCACTGTGATCTGTTCTGATAATAACTTTGTGTCCATAGAGGTAATGCCGGTAATGTTTACAAGCAAAAACCACTGCCAAGAGTTCTTTTCGAGTAACGCAGTAACGTTGTTCCGACTTGGACAATGTCCTACTAGCGTAAGCTATTACTTTATTTGTCCTTGTATTTCTTGCGACAAGACTGCACCAAGGTTTGTCTGACTGGCGTCAGTATCTAAGATGAATGGCAAAGTGAAGTCTGGGTGAGCGAGGATTGGTGCATTGACCAAATGAAATTTAAGTTTTTCGAATGCTGTTTGGTACTCAGCAGTCCATTTAAATTATTTCCCCTTTTCCGTAAGTTTGAACAAAGATTTGGCTATAGAAGAAAAACCACTGATAAATCTTCGGTAATAGCCACATAACCCTACAAATGACTCAACCTCGGTGACATTCAAGGGTGCAGGCCATTTGTCAATGGCTGAGATCTTCTGTGGATCAGTCTGAATGCCTTCTCCGGATACTTTATATCCCACCGCTGCCACCAAAATGTAAAGTGTAACCTAATTTAAGAGTCCGTTTTCAGGGATACAATCAGAGGTTCTTTGTAACCGGGTACTATGACTGGGCTCCTTGCACCTGGTTCCGTAACCAAGTTCCTATTGAAATGAGCACTCGGTGCCTCACCCTTACTCAGAATTACTACACCTTGTACTTCAGTTCAATTCCTTGGCCAAATACACACCGGTGCTCTATACCATAGCCTTACTCCTTTTAATACTTCTAATTTAATTATTACCTTTAATCTTCTATTCAGCTTCTCTCTTCTTCTACGGATTTCGGAACTCCCGAAACTGCCTCTGTAGTCTCTTATATAGCAAAGGGCTATATCATTCAAACGGGGGTGAACAGGCCCCTGGACTGTTCCATTAATCCAGGTCTCACCAACGTTTGAATGGTTTAAGCCCATTGCCTTATTCATTACTCATTACAATATTTAGATTTATAACTACCATGCGTAAAAATATTAATGCCCTTTCTAAACATCAAATAATAAGATGTGTTTGTGAAACACTGATGCCCCCGTAAGACAGCTAGCTTTGGCGACGGTTGAATTTCTCAAATGCAATTCAACCTACAATGTCAACAGGTCAAAATTTTTGGCATCCAAAGGAACACACCTGTAAATTTGAAAACCCTAGTGCTTATTGTTCAAAAGTTATGGCCCAGATATAAGTGTCAGATTTGCTTTTTTAAAGTGGGTCACACTCTAATTATAAGGTCAAAGTTTAAAGGTCATTTTTGTTATTAAATAAAGGAAGGTCTTGTCACAAGAAAAACGCCTGTGAAATGTGAATTCGAAACTTCTAGTGCTTACTGCTCAAAAAGTTATGGCCAAGTTAAAGTTTGGTATTTTTTTTAAAAAGTGGGATAAACTCCAAGGTCAAATTTAGTGGTACATATCAAAAGAAAGTTCTGGTCACAAGGAATACATATGTAAAATATAAAATGTTAAATTTTTGCGGAAAATCAGCTAGAAATACAGACGGGTTAAATCACTATTAACCCACGAATCTTCGATTACGTGGGCATAGACGTACGTTCAACAAAGAATGTGTAACGTACAAGACCGAAAATTATTAGGCCTATAATAATATATTATATCGAAAAAGACAGGGACTTATATATTCTAACGGGATAGGCAACTTCTTCATCGCCATGTTTATTTACCCAAAACATCCCACACTACACTACAAATTTTTTAAACTACGTTTATACTCAGTAAAAATTCTGTTTATTCCTTTTATGTTTTGGAATGGATTTTTATTTTTTAAGCATAAATTATAATGTAATTTAAATATAAAGAAAACAAACACAGTTAGTATATAGGTTCCTGATAATTAACATGATTAATAATTTGTCATAGATTATAAACCTTCCATGATACATTATCATAGCATTATCACATTATCGTCTGTTTCGATAAAATTATCCTACTTTGATACTTCCCCTAGTGATACTGCGGTCCACGCAAGATCTCGCGGTAATGTTAACAAATCACGTGAACACCTCCGTTCGAGAGGTAAAATGGAGATTGTCGAGAATCCTGTCGTTCCCGTTATCAATGGTGACATACCCTGTATGCCTCCTGGTCAGCAAAACGAAGACGACATCGACATAGGAAAAATCCAAGATGAGGTATGTATCCTTGCGTAGGGATCGAGAGATCCTCATTCATCTGAATGGCTTGTTTATATTATGTAGTTCGAATTATCTCTTCATGAAACACCTCAAACAGCTGATGTTCCTATTTTGGCGGATTACGCCATACGGGAGGAGTAAAAATAACATTGATCTAACAAATACTGCGCATCTACTTTCACACTGATTGTATTTTTTGTAATCCTGGTGCAATTTAAATTCAGTAAAGCATGGCGTGAGTCAGACATTGCGTCCAATATTCTCGCCCGTGTTTTGTTTTGTTTACAGTCTCAACATCATTAACCGTATTACACAATTTTTGGTCTGGAGTGTCTGAAGGCCATATGATAATAAAGAGAGACCTTGAAATAGAAATTGTCGCAGATTGATAATTTACTGTTAAGTTATGTAATATATTTTCTGTTTCAAAACATTGCAAAATGGGTCTAGTGAATTATCCCCAAATGACCACAATGACATGTTGTTAGTTAATTTGATATGACTAGCATATTACAAAATCATAATTTAATCATCATTTTTCATGTTTAATGTCACTCAACATGTGAAAAATTATGAATAGATACATCGTAAAGATGTAGTACTGGGTTCATATTTTTGTATCAAAATTAAATCACTAATTATTGTAGAATGTGAAATGATTTTCCCTAAAGAATTGATTCACAATTCAAGAAAGAGTTTCTTATTACATAGAATTTCAATTCAACACATTCAATATCACAAAAATAGAAATCTGTAAATAATATGTAAAATTATCAATTTTAAGTCTAATTGCTCTGTATAGGCCTAGTTCCACATTCCATGCATGTACCAATGTGTCTTTCAGAATCTCATAGAAATTTGAATGTCATTGAATAAATTTTTTTTGTTTATTTCCAGTTGAAAAATATTAGAAAAGTCATTCAGTTAACAAAAGATTCCTTAGATGAATTAAACAAAACATTTGGAAATGACCAACAACCTAATCCTATGTACTTGGAGGTGAGATTTAAATAGCATATTAAATTTTGTAATAGAATTTTGAATCTTTTTGGACTTATAATATTAGCACTTGCTGATATTAGTCAATGTTCAGGTCTCAAACACCTTGTGTAAAAAAAATGAAAAATTATATGGGATTTTTATTAAATTACTTTATTTCAGATTTAGGCCATGTATTACTTATAGTTATAATAAAGTAACCATTTCTGTCTCAACTTAAAATAAGTTTTCTCCTTATTTTCCAGCTTATTTGTTACTCAAGAGCATGCTCCGAGTACAAAATATCTGTTATCTTCCCTTTTTTTTTTTTAAAGTTTATTGATATCTTTTAAGAATATTAAAAAAAAAGAATTCTGTCCTATTAATTATCCTGCTAGTCTGATTGGAAACACATGATACATTTGATAATAATTTTTTTTATAATCAATTAATTTCCAGGAATATGAAACTCTCACCAACAAAATCCATGACTTACAAGTCAAAGAGGAGGACCTACTGGCGAAGATGCCAAATGAGGAGTTGGAGAATACCCCTCCCCCTGCCCCCTCCACACTTCCCTCGTCAGGGGGCGTGGCACAACCTAATGTACCAAATCCACTACCAAGTCCTAAGCCTGTCCACGGGATTATAAAGGCCTACTTACCAAATGAGCAGTTTTCACTGGTACACTTGTTCAGTCTTTAGCTTATTTAAAAGATTTACTTTGTATGAATATTCAAAGTTTGTGGCTTTTTGTTGCCAATGGCACAGAAAAAAAAACCATTCAATGCATCAATCAGCTATCTTCAATAAGCATGTTACAGTAATGAATTTTAAAGCCAAAGTGCAGAAACTGAGACATTTTACAATGTTTTCAGCATGTTATTCATTCTCTGATTATTTATTGAAAAAATTGATAGAACGAATACTAACAAAGAGATGAAAAATTAGGCAATAGTATTTTGATTGTGATGACAAAGATTTATTTTTGACATACCTGTAAACAGGTAAAAATTGAGCCAGGAAAGATCCTAAAAGAAGGTTTAAAGAAAACAATGTCTCGCAGAGATCTGTTACCGGAAAATTGTAACGTCTTTGACTCCACAACAAAGTAAGTCTATAACTCTAAAAGTGGAAGATTATATTTCATTTGTAAGATTATTGTTTAAAAGCAATAGTGCATGATTGTTTGAAGGGGAACTAAATCATGAGTTTTAAGTCTCATAATTGGTGATAAGGAAAAAAGTAATGTCTTTTATATACAAACATGACAAAAGGTGATCTTTGCCTTGATCACTAAAACTGACTTGAAAAAAAAATTACAAAACTCATCTTTATCAAATCTTTAAACTTGGCAGAATAAGAAACTTTAAAGGTAATTTGATACACGTAAGCCATAGCCCCAAAAAAGAGCTGAGAGATTTTTAGTCGTGCACAAAAATGAACTTGTGAATGTTTTCAAAAATGCATAAAAATTTGAAATGTACCCAGACATGACCTAGTTTTTGTTTTTCAGGATGCCGATCTCCTGGGACATTGACATGGCCAACTTAGCCGGGAAACACATCAATGTGTGTGAGAAACCCAAGCGAAAGCTGGAGGGACAGTTAGCGATCACCACACATAATATAGTACGTGGGTCAAAGAGTAAAGGTTACATTAAACAGGGGTCAAATATCATAGGTTATTTTGGCAGAGATTTTTGCCATCACTATAGATACTATTGTAGCGTAGGTCATAAAGCAAAGATTAGATCTGACATTTTTCAGTCTCATTAATCATCATTGTCCTTTTGAGGGAATTCTTTGGACTATATTTTCATATTTTGTGTGTATATACTTAGATTTAGAGGAGTAAACTGACGATTTATATGAAAAAAAAATCTGTGTGTATTAATTAATTTTCAGTATTAAATAATAACACACTGCTTTCGTGTATTTTCTATGCACAGTAATAGACACATGTATACATAAATACACCTGGGTATGTGTACATGACAGATGTTTAAAAAAAGGATTATCTGTTGTTTTTAACATGTTTAATTCACCTTCCTCTTTGCAGGTTAGAAAAACATTTTTACTTTTAACATTCTGTGATGGCTGTGGGAAGTCCTTGTTTCAAGGTTTTCGTTGTCAGACGTGTGGAATTCGATTCCATCAGCGCTGCAGCGACAAAATTCAGCCCTTCTGTTATCCTGTTTCTGATTCCTTACATTACCCGGGGATGTTCAAACCGTAAGTATTACAGGATAAGTTACAAAAATATATCAGAGAGTTCATAACACCAGTGCAGTCGTTTTGATATGGTGGTATCTCTTAGCTTGTAGAATATTCAATTTTAAGTTCAACAACAAGTAAATTCATGTAAAATTTTGTCATTACCCTGAAAGAAAAGTCAGATATACTATGTCAAGGCCACAGTGTTCAGAAGAGTAAAACTTTGAAGGGATCAGAAATGTAAAATTCTACAAGACAAAACTTTATATTTTGTGATTAGGTCAGATTCCAGGGTGTAAAACATTGATGAGTCTACTTTGGTCTCTGCAGTCTCACCTTCAAAAAAGAAATTTATTATGGAAAAGTGAGACTGAGATCAAAAGTGAGCTCAACTAAGTCTTATGGCCCCAGACCCAGGGGGTCATAATTTAAATATTATTGCCCGTGACCTAGAGTCAAGTTTAAGGTCACATTTGGCACAGAAGGCCAACAATTTTTTAAAAAGCCATTTTAAATTAAGCCCTTTCTTTATTGCCTCACAGGGAGTATAAGTCCCAAAGGCAAAAAAATGTTGTTATTTATTTGGAAAGTCAGTAAATTGACTTAATTAAAATGGAATTTGCATATTCAGTGAAACCTGTCTAATCCGACATCACTGTGAGACAAATTTTGTGTGGGAGTAGACAGGGTGTCAAATTATACAGAGTGAAGAACAATGACATTAGATAAATGAAATCCAATGTCAGAATTCACAGTGAAACAGATTGCAAAGGTGTCAGATTACACAGTTCTCACTGTACATCTATTGTTATTAAAGAAAACATTGTTTTCATCTGAAGCATTGTCTTAATAGAATTGATGTTGTACATGTAGTAGTTTAATTTATTATTTCATTATTTTCAAAATCCTAATTTTTTCATCTAACGTGTGACAAGCTATTGTCGTGATAAGTTTGCTAATTTAGTTAAATCGATGTTTTTTCTTATTTGTATAAGTAGATTTTCATTTTGTGTACACGTAATAATTGTTATCTATATATTTGTTTTTATAGACATAATTTTTAAGTTATTTTGTGTGTTTGAAAGCAGTGACTTAAATCATCTCTCATGCAAAACTTCTTTTGCAGAAGTTACTTCCCCTTTCCTATATTTTTGCCTGAGTAGTCTGCTCATGATGAAGGCATATAATGTTCTAGTTTTCCTCTTCCCCAAAATCAGATGCATTTTCTAAGAGATTGTGCATGTTCCAAACTTCTTTCCATAGAAAATACCTTTTCCCCTGAAAATAAAAAAAATGAAATGCTATTTGATACAGTGTCCCCAAAAAAGCAAACATGTATTTTAGATTACTTGCTGTAGTAGTATTAAAAAAAAAGAATTAGAATTTTTTTCTTTTAAATTAAAAACTCTTTGGTCTCTGACAAAAATGACACCCTTGAAACCTTGATCTAAACAACTTTCCCTGCTTTCTTAATGATAGAAAAGTTTTTGTATGAAAATTTGTCATAGATGTCTCTTTCAGTTCAACTTGCTGAAATTCCTAGCATGGCCGTCTAGATTGACCTCATTACACGGTTTCTTTGTTTATTGTTTGTTCACGATTTTCTGGTTTTAATATCACTTTTGTTACACCTATGTAGTTTTGTTGTTTTTCCCCTATTATTTGAATGCCAGGTTTGTCTAAAAGATATAGCCATGCATTTTTATGTCGCTTTTGAGTTTTGTTGTTTGGTCTTTGTTTTTGCATGTTTATCAAAGCTTAAGTATTAGCTACAGCTAGAGCAAGTATGCTACAGATACTTGGAAACTGTTCTTCTTCTTTTTACTTTTTTTCCTCTTATAAATAAAGTAAAAATGAATGAAAATTTAATTATACTCTAAAAAAAAAAAAAAACAATCGTGGCAATAGTGTAAAATTAAACTTGACAAATCAAGTGATTTCATGGATTTTATTATTATTATTATCTAAAGGTGCATCAGCCTCCATGGCCTTAAATGGAAATATTTTTGTAATTAATAGAATTATAAAAAGATAATGGAGTTAAAAAAATGTTATGTGTGGACCAGGTTTGATCATGTACATGTATAGTCCGAAAAACCTGACGTTTTTCTGGCTTTTTTACGATTTTGATATTTTACATGCCAGGAAAACGTTTTACCGTCTCCACCCGAAGTTGATTTTCTATACTTGGGAACCGAATTAGATGCCGAAATCACAATTTATCAATGGCACAATGCTCCTAGAACTCACCAATATCGATGAATAGAAATTACCACCCCACATTCCGATTCAGAACTTGCACGATTTTAAAATGCACGAGATGAAAACAAATCTCGACAGTCAGCATGGTCAGATAAAATGTGTTCATCGGATTATATTATTTCATAAACGAAACATAAAAACGATTTTGGTGAGTACTAAAGGTGTTGTACTATTGATAAAATGTGAATTCAGCATTTAATTCGGTTTAAATTCAACCTGTGCCGCCTCCGGTTGGAGGCGGCGATTTCCTAGTTTTCGTAATGGCGCCGGTTCTGACGTTTTCCTGGCAGGTAAAATATCAAAATCGTAAAAAAGCCAGAAAAACGTCAGGTTTTTCGGACTAGTACATGTATTGTATTTAAAAAGGTGTTAAAAAAAAAAAGGCAGTATTACAACAATTAATGTGGAGTCACCTCTCTTAGTTTCTACTTAAGAGATTCTTCCATAAAATTTAAAAAACATGATAGAAATTTGACCTAGAAGGGGAAATCTGTCAAAATTTGCAATATAGGTATATAAGTTTACTGCAACTATGAGTGGATAGAAGAGGTTTTATGTAATTTGATTAAAAATAAACACTGAGTCTCATTTTGTTTTTCTGAGTACTGTTAAAATACTTAAGTCACTGAGTTTAGAATCACAATGTTGTATATTTGAATCACATTTGTTTTAGTTTAATTTAACAACTAAATAAAAGTTTTAATAATCACTTTTATTATAGACAAAGAAAAAAAAGGACACATTTAATAATGGATATATTTCATTTCACATATTTTAGATTTTGTTATCCTCTTCACAATTTCTTTATAGAAATTTATCTTTAATACTGATATAGTTGCTATCACTGTTTATATGAAAACTGGATATGGTCATCTGCCTTTCAATAAATATAAATGAATTGATAAAGAAATTTTCTTATTTTCTTAACAGTTAAATTTCATTTATCATGTCTTAATATTCTGATATTGCAATGAATTTTTGATTCACAACACTCAATAAAAACAATATAGTAGATGAAGAAAATGTCTAAATAAAATTGTAAGTGAGCTATATTTTTTTTTGTATTTGAGATGACCTTATCCATTGCATAAGGCTAGGTAACTTGCTAATTTTGCCTTTGCCATTTTTTTCGTGATCTGTGCTATCTTTTCTAATTTTCTAACTCTGCATGTCTCTGACAAATATGTATATCACATATTTATATATATGCATTCATATTGGAAATTTCAGCAAGTTGGCGGATCCGGGATTTTCTCAGAACAAGGAGGATAGGTTCAGCCGCAGTCGGTCCCAGTCTGCACCGAATGTTAATATAAATATAACGGACACACATCCTGACCATTCAGAGGTAAAGTTTTGATTGGTTGAGGGCGGTCCAGGGTCAGTGAGAAGGTGGAAAAGTCACCCGGCCCCTTCCCCATGCTATGTTCCCATTTCTCTGTCAGTTCCATTAACTGATTGTGAGAAATCAGTCTTTAAGAAATTGGAAGTAGCTGTAGGTCAGTTATATAGCCCCCCCTCCCCCCCCCTTAAAAAAAAGTTTGGGGTATTCTTAAATTTTTACAAACCCATCTTCAATTCAGTTTGAGGGACATTTAAAGCTGAAATTAATCCTTTGAAAGAAGAGGTTGGTTTGCATACCCTAGCTATGTTTGAAGCTGACATGCAGACAATGTATATCCTGAAAGAAAAAAGGTCACATGCTTTCATACACACACAGAAAAAACAAGTTGTCTTTCCCATGATTTACAAAAAAAAATATCTATTTCCTGCCTTAAACAGCCTCACGTCTCAAGTAAATTCGTCACCATTGTACACATCCGAACCCAATCTACGGAATATTAACACCCCACCACCTCAAGACGACATGAGGGTAGGTACTCACAATATCCAAAGGTCTAGGTACAGGTAAGAAAATGGCAGTTGGTATATCTGAAAATGCTATAGAATGTATAACTGGTACAAAAAAAAATATTTTAAGATTACCGGCAAATGCCAGAAATTTTTTTTATAAAATGTACAGAAATGTTAAAAAGCATTAACCTTAAAGTTGTTTTCTTTCTCTGAAAAAAAAAAAACAAACTTTGATTACCAATATTATTTTGAAGTATTCATTTTATTTTAATAAGTGTCATGTAATCAGTTATTTCTTATATGATATGTTTTTCCCTAACATTTTTCACTTCTTCATTCTCAGGAGAAGTTTCCATTTACATCCCCAAATATTGAAGGTAGGGTCTATTTTGATGTTTTCAGTTTCCTAGCATCGGTAGTGATATACTGCACCATAATGTAGCATGGTAGATATTGGTAACTATAGTTGTGTTTTCTGTATTTTCAGTATAAAAGTAGATTTAACTGGGTTGCAGATTTAACAAGTCTGAAATTTTTTTTGGCTCAATTCTGCAAAAGAATAAATTTGCCAAGCATTATCTAATGTGCTTTCTGCTCCAGAACTTGAGGAGGCTTGCATTACTATTTTATTGTTTTAAGTAAAATATTTTCTGACAAACAAGTACCAAGTAAATCATCTTTAACATTAATGTACTTTATCAAATACTTTTGAAACAAATGTAGTGTATAAAAACATAACACTGAAGCTTAGGTCTGACTTTAACAATAGTTTTCACCAAATGTAAGTTTTATATGCTGGGAGAAATGAAATTGACATCGTCATAAAGAAAGGAGATAATTGATTGGACGTGGACTATTAATTCCAGATTCGGGACCCCCTCGACATTACAAAGATAAACGACATGCCAGTGATGGCACGTGTAACAAGTCTACACCAAAGCATCGCTATGGTAACCGTGTGTGCTTTGTGTGTTGGACTATGATTTTTTTTGTGGCTTTTCCTTTTCAACACAACAGTGGAGTGATGTGATTCTTGTGTCATAATTTAAGTTTAAAAAAAAAAATAATGAAAAAATAAAATTGAAGTCGTTGAGATCAGTCTGATTAAAATAACATCTTCACTAGCTTCTGGTATTTTTAGGTCACCTGAGTAAACTCAGGTGACCTATTGCTATCCGTTTTCGTCCGTCGTCGTGCGTCGTTCGTCGTGCGTTAACATTTGAACATTTTCAGCTTCTTCTCTGAAACCACTGAACCAATTTCAACCAATTTTAGCATATAGCATCTATGTGTGAAGGGGAACAAAAACTGAATTTCATTGTCCCTGCCCCCCAGCTGGGGCCTGGGGGTGGGGCCAAAACCACTAAAATTAGTGCAATCTTTGAAAATCTTTGGACATCAAGCAGTCAAACTGTTTGCATGATTGTAATCAACATTTAGTCCTCTACCAAAATTGTGAAATTCATGGCCCTGGGTCAGGGGTTCTAGTGCTAGGGCGGGGCTAAATAAGTATATAGTGAAAATGCATTATTTCTTTGAAAATCTTCTTCTCTACTCCTGGGTATTAAATAAACCAACTAAGTACATAGTTATGATGAGCAAGAGTGCCTCTACCAAAATTATGAATTTTATGGCCCCAGGGTCAGGGGTTCTTGTGTTAGGGCGGGGCTCTATTGATTATATATAGTGAAAACACATGATTTCTTTGAAAATCTTCTTCTCTGCCCCTGGGTATTAAATATACTAACTAAGTGCATAGTTATGATGAGCAAGAGAGCCTCTACCATAATTTTGAATTTTATGGCCCCAGGGTCAAGGGTCATGATGTTGGGGGGGGGGGGCTCTATTGATTATATAGTGAAAATACATGAATTCTTTGAAAATCTTCTACTCTGCTCCTAGTATAAAATAAACTAACTAATTGCATAGTTATGATGAGCAAGAGTGCCTTAATTGTGAATTTTATGGCCCCATTTCCTGTGTAAGGGAGGGGGGGCTCTATTGATTATATGGTGAAAATACACGAATTCTTTGAAAATCTTCTATCTTCAATTAAATAAACTAACTAAGTGCATAGTTATGATGAGCAAGAGTGAACCAAAATTGTGAATTTTATGGCCCCAGGGTCTGGGGTTCTGGTGTTAGGGTGGGGCTCTATAGATTATATAGTAAAAATACATGAATTCTTTGAAAATCTACTACTCTGCTCCAAGGTATTAAATAAACTGACTAAGTGCATAATTATGATGAGCAAGAGTGTTTTTACCAAAATTGTGAATTCTATGGTCCCAGGGTCAAGGGTTCTGGTGTTGGGGGGGGCTCTAATTATATACTAGTATTGAAAATACATGAATTCTTTGAAAATCTTCTACTCTGCTCCTAGGAATTAAATAAACTAAGTACATAGTTATGATGAGCAAATGCCTCTTTTAAAACTATGAATTTTATGGACCCAGGGTCAGGGGTTCACTATAATATAGTGAAAATACATTAAATATTTGAAAATTTTCTTCTCTGTCTCTGGGTATTTTTTACAGTTATTATCAGCAAGGGCCCTAATCTTGCAGACTTGTGAATTTCAAGGCCCCAGGGTCAGGGGTGGGGTGGGGGCTCTACTGAATTTATTGTTTGAAATCTGCTCTTTTGTATTTATAAACCATTTATTAATTGATATTAAGGGTGCCTTTTTAAAATTTGTGCAATGTGTGGACCTTAAGGGTCAGGGGTTTAGGTCACAGTGTTAGGGGCACTACTGATTAGTTGGAATGCATTTTTGTTCCCCTACCCTGCGTATTCAGTAACCAAGCTAAGCAACTGCTAAGTGTATTGTTATGATGATCAATGGTGCCTCTTTCAAAATTGTGAATGTCATATACCATCTGGCTTAAAACATTAATCAAATTCAATAACTGGAAAGTTGTTGCATAATGCTCAGGTGACCTATAAGGCCCGTGGGCCTCTTGTTATTGTCACAGTAATGTCTTAGATAACTCTGTATGGGGTCACATATGAAATTGTTAACCAATTGGGTTTCAATTTTATAGATTCTGAAAAGCTACATTCAAAATGAGAAGGACTAGAAGCTAGTGAAGGATTGATTTTAATCAGATTCTGAGAGAAAAAAAATGAGATTTATACATGGTTTAAAACAAGGTTTTTGAAACAATTTGAAAAAAAAACATGATAGAAAATTAAAATCTTAATTTGTAAAGAATATGACACATGGATCATATTTTCCATGTTTAAAATCTACTGACACTGGAAAACATTTCATCATTAGTAATACTTAGGTTAAATTCTCAATGAAGTTCCACATAGGTTCATTACTAACTCAACTCGGTAATACTCTCCGTGTACACGCTAGTCCATGTAAAGTTTTCTGTGTTAAAAATTAGACCCCTTTCCTTCAATCTTATGGTCAAAAATTGGAATATAGTCAGTACATGTACTAATGGTGTTCCCATTTAATAAACGTCTGCATTTTCTCATACATGTACCAGGTTTATCAGAATCTGTTCTTGTGGTACTCAAAGTAATAGAGAGAGAGAGAGAGAGAGAGAGAGAGAGAGAGAGAGAGAGCAAGAGAGAGATTAAAGTCTGGCTGAATAATCTTTTAATTAATATGCACAGATTTGATAGAATGAATTCTTGTGGTTGTAATTTTTTTTATTAGTCTTAATTGATTGGCTTGTTTGAAGTGATGCAGTATAGATTTCATGAACAGTTGTTCTTTTTTTAAGGAAATTATTCACTTTTACTGGAGAATATTTTTAGTATAGTAAAAGTTGAGTGTTTTAATGAAAGACCTGATTTTTTTTTACTACGACTTCACAATCATTTCAACTATTAGCCTTTAACAAACCCACCTTCATCACCACAATTCTTCACGTGTGAAAATTTTGACATGAATACTTAATTTACGAATGGGAAATAACTGCAAAATTTTTATTGTATACCTGAAAATAAGCTGTGAACCGTGTATTCAGTTGTTCTTTAATGTAGAAAATTTTTCCAATGTGTCACAGAAATTAAGGCATTAGGAATGAATATGAAACTAGTGTTAAAAATTATTTTTGCAAAATGGTTTTAAAAATTGTTATTATTTTTAGGCTTGATTTTAAGATATAGAATATATCTGTTGAAGTTTAAGATCTCAGTTTTTTATGAATTTCAAATGGTTTTGATTAATTTAAAAAAAAACTATTTTTCAGGAACACAAAGAAACAATACCCTCCCCGTGTTATCCATTCCTTCCAAGCCCATACCTCAGCCCCCTCCCACCCAGACAGGCCAGGAGGCCAAGGTAGGACAGCCCCCAAGGGCAATTATATAATACATACCTCAGCCCCCTCCCACCCAGACAGGCCAGGAGGCCTAGGTAGGGCAGCCCCCCAGGGGCAATAATATAATATATACCTAAGGCCCCTCCCACCCAGACAGGCCAGGAGGCCAAGGTAGGGCAGCCCCCAGGGGCAATAATGTAATACATATACCTCAGCCCCCTCCCACCAAGACTGGCCAGGAGGCCAAGGTAGGGCATCCCCAAGGGGCAATAATATAATACATACCTCAGCCCCCTCCCACCCAGACAGGCCAGGAGGCCAAGGTAGGACAACTGCTGGGGCAAGGGAACCCACATGTTATGTTATACAGTTAAATCTTGTTGTCATGAACACTGAATCTCGAATACAGTGGATATGTCAAAGTGATTTTGAAAATATTCTTTAACTGTTGAACATCTTGGATAATCTGATAACACATTATTTTTTTTTCTGTTTAAGATGGCAAGGTTTGACTTTATATAGGAATCCAAAACATAATTCAAATCTACAAAATCGAATGTCTTCACAAGAAAACCTAAACATAGAAGTGTTTCTCTATTTTCTCCTATTATTAAAAGATATGATCTTTTTAAAAGCTATAAGCATTTTGTTTATGGAAACAAATGGGTGATTATGTTTTATTTGTTGTAAAATGGGAAATTGTCATTGATTTGTTTTATTATTTAGCATCGGACGGGAGAAAATCATCCTCGAGAAGACTGGGAAATCAATGGGGATCAGATACAAATGCACAAGAGGATAGGGTCAGGGTCATTTGGGACTGTGTATCGGGGGTATTACCACGGTCACGTGGCAATCAAACGCCTCAACGTCACCGCTCCTACTCCTCAACAGCTGAGGGCATTCAAAAATGAAGTAGCTGTATTACGGTGAGTCAAAAGGAATGTTTGGCTGATTATACTGTAATGTGTTTTATAATACATGCACTGAATATTATTAATGATCAGAATGGTGTTAGAAAGTGGTATTAGATGGGTTAAATCACCTTTGGTAGGAACTGTAAATAAACAAGTAATTAACTAGAGGGGGAGGCTATTTAGTAATACAATGTTTTCATCAAAAAATATGTGCAATGTTGAAGTGGAGTACAGTATAGCACTCTAAGAAAGATAACTCTTGCTGATTTTATTGATTTTAAATTTTGATGCTGAAAATGAGATCTTACAAAGTTTAACTGAATGTAAAAATGCATGCAGCATTGTAGAAACAATTAAAATGAAAGATACAACAGAATAAAATGTTCAGTGATAATGTAAGTGTAGATATCTATTTATGTCTAATCTTATTTGCTATACTCAAATGTGCATATTATATTACAAAAAATTTGTTTCCTGTAGGAAAACTCGACACACAAACATTCTTCTGTTCATGGGCTGGACGTCGAAGCCTCAGTTAGCCATTGTTACCCAGTGGTGTGAAGGTTCCAGTTTATACAAACACATTCACGAAGACGATATCAAATTTGAAATGTTGACGATAATGGAAATCTCTCGACAGACGGCGCAGGGCATGGAGTAAGTGAAATAGCATATTAAGATACTGTGGATTCCTTAATTCGCAATTATTATCGTGAAATATATCTTAGCCCTCAAATCATGAACATTTATGACTAAACAGTTGATCAGATTTTACATAAATTTCAGCACCATGAAAAAAGAGTAATTTCATTTCATGAATGGTGCTACTTGCAAAATTATGGGATAAAAATTCATCTTGTATAATAAGAAGCTACTGTTTGTTTTAGCTTAAAAGGGTAAACAAAATTTAACTTTTCATAACTTGATGAATTCAATTTCAGTTGATTTATTTGACTTTTCTTTTTCAGTTACCTTCATGCCAAGTCTATAATTCACAGAGATTTAAAGTCTAACAGTATCCTTTTTACTTGTACTTAGATAAAAAAAAAATAGAATAAAAAATTGGGTTTATGGAAATTTTAATTCCTGGAACAAGCCCTTTTCTGAAAGAGATGTCTCAGCATAGTTTTTAGGATGTTTAACTCATAGTAACTGCAGTATTTTCAGCAAACTTTTAAAGATTTTATATTAAAGAACTATATGCGGTATTAACCAACATTTGCCCCCCAAAATCAAACTTTGGTGGAGTAATATTTAATTAAGTCCTTAAACAGGGGAGTATATGCTGACTTCAAAGCACTGAATAATTTCATAAGTAATGACGTCATATGTACGTAATGACGTCACAAATATGACGTAAATTTCAGTTTTTTATGAATTTTGCAGAAAAATGTACATATTTCGTCGATATTTTAAATAAAAGTCACCGAGCGCATGTGTGTTCAGGATAAATATTTTGATATAATGTGTAGAATGATAATATCAATGAAATATGTCAATATTGTTCCTGAACACACATGCGCTTAAATTTTAAAGCTTAAATTGTTGAAATTTTGTCCATTTTGTCCTCTTTCTGAAAAAGGATATAAAATCGGACTAGTTTGTGACGTCATAAAAACAGAAATTGTGAATACACTGCTCTGGAACTATAATATTTTCTGTTAACTTATATTTCTCGCACCATTTATTGAATTCAGCACATTTCAGGAAGTTTTCAAAATTTGACTTTTGTGGGGGCAAACATATGCAATATACCGCATATAGTTCTTTAGATGTGTCAAATGTAATGTTCAAGAAAGCTGGAAATACAGATTATTGCAGACTTTATTTTCCATGTCTTAAAAATTAATTTTGAATAAATCAAACTAAATTTTTTGCTTCACCAAGAAAAAAAAAGATAAAGAATTTCTTAACCATAAATCAGATATATTTTTAACGGAAAATTTAACGGTAAAAATAGGTGATTTTGGACTGGCCACCATGAAAACGAGGTGGAGTGGGTCACATCAATTCCAACAACCCAGTGGCTCTATATTATGGATGGTATGTCAACATATGTTTTTTTTTTACATGTCATTGATTGTAAAGTCAACATGGAGTTTATTGAGTTTTTCCATAAATGAACATTTTTAAAGTTTTTAAAGTTTTACATTAAATTCAATTAATGTGTTTGATAAAAGACTTAAAAATACATGTTGTATAAAATGTTTGAAAATTTTGCCTGGTACTTATAATACAGTCAATTCTCGAATTATCGCCATTCGATTCATCGCCATTTTCGCAATACCGCCTTGATTTCCCAAGAACGTTTTTCCTGCTATATAAAATTCTCCTTATAACGCCAAATTCGCATATTGCCATCCACCACCCTGTTTTCAAAACAAACGTCCATTTTTAAGTGTCAATTATCTCGATATACCGCCACAGGTGCGTGTGGTCAGTGAAGCGCGGCTAATTGGTTGACACTATCCCTGTTGTAAAGTATGCAAAGACAGACAAGGTACATGCAATTTTAAAGTAATTAAACAAGAACTAAATAAACAATAATTTTAACATGAACTGTTATTATAATTTTGTTTTCTGATTAATAAAAATCATTTAGTGATGGCTTCGCCACGAAAGCGGGGTCGTTGTTAAAATTCGCCGATAACTATAACTATATTATTTAGATGACCTCTGATTTAAACAATGCAAAGTTTGCTGAAAAAAATAATTAAACGGTATAAATTGTGAATGTTTAATTAACAATGTTGCCATAAACAATAAATTTATTCAAGAATTCATTTTACTTATTATCGGCAATTATCACGACGATCGACCCAGCATGTTTTTTTTCAATAGAATACCTGCAGATTTAAATGCACACACATGTACTTGTCTTTATTTCATAACTGCACATTTTGTTTAAAATAGCGAATTTTTACATTAAAAAAAATAACTTGAAGTATTTTTAATCAGAAATATGTTTTTATATACATGTACATGTAATAATAAAATGGTATAATAATTTCTAAGAACGATAACTCTACTTCTTTTTTCCAGAAGATGGGAAATTCAATTCATCGCAAAATTCGTTATACCGCCATGATTTCTAAATTACAAAAGGTGGTGGTTTATCGAGAATTAACTGTATATGTAAAATTACAGCCCTAATCGTCAAATTCAAAACAAAATGACATATTTGAACTGCTATTAAATTGTCATTAGAAAGTTTAGATAAAATAGAATAATTTTATCAACAAAAAAAAGTTCGTTGTTAATGTTTCTATAATTATTTTTTTAGGCCCCTGAAGTGATACGAATGAAAGAAGCTAATCCATACACAAACCAATCAGATGTCTACGCTTTTGGAATTGTGTTATATGAGTTAATGACACAGTCTCTTCCTTATAGCAACATAAGTAACAAAGACCAGGTCAGTTCTGATAATGTGTGAAAGCTAAAGCTAATAAAAAAAGAATATCATGTTGGACTAGATTTAGATTTTTTTTCTCTTGATAAATCACCATAATTTACTAATTTACCCCCCCCCCCCTTTACTACTCCACCAAAAAAAAATATAGAGAAAAGAATATGTAGTTTTGAATTTGTTTTGAAATTTGATGAATTGTTTCAATAGAGAGTGATTGATATTGTATTAATAGAGAGAGAATGATATACATCAAAATATGCTACTATTTGTTCAATATCAACACTATATTTTCCTAAGAACTTTAAGATTTTAAGGTCTATAAGAAATTGATAACCATGATCCAAAAAAAAAGACAGAAAAAGAGCTTGGTTCACTTTATGCATAAAATGGCCCTATGGATATACCAATTGATTGATTAACACTTGATTTTCCATTTGAAGCATTAAAATAAAATACACACTTAGTGCTTTCATTTCCTATTAAAAATTTTCTAAAAGTCCAGGTCTTGGAGAACCGGCCTTATGAAATTGCAATGTTCTTGAATTTTAAGGTAAACGGGTAAAATTGAGTACTTTTAGTGAAGAAAAATAATATCAGCGCACTCTCTGATCTAAAAAATAAAACATGTCTTTTAATCTTCAGAAACAGTTCTATCATTTAGGAATTGCATATTTTAGATCAGAGGTTGCGCTCCATACTAAATATCGAAAAATAGCTTTAAAAATTGGCCATTTTTGTAGACTTTTTCAGAATATGAGGAAATCGACGCATTTCGTGACGTCATAATGCATTGACTAGCTGGGAAATTACGTCATTTTTGATAGATATGCAGTCACCAAAGATCTAAGTGTTATTCAATGCATTGTTAACTAAAACTATTCAGTTTCAATTTTTCAGAAATTCACAGGGCCAAATAAGGCAAAAGTGAACCTTGTTCTTTAAGTAACTCTTTGAATATATAAAAGGATTATAATTATGGTACATGTATTTGGTAAATGAATCAATTTGTAGAATGTTAAGGATGAGAGGTTTGGGGAGTTCAAATTGAATGCACTGTTTGGTGTAAAGTAGAAATTAAGATTGAGTTTGTACATTGTTGCTTATAGCTGTATCTCATGACTTTGTAGCTTTTACACATTGTTGGTTATAGCTGTATCTAACTTTGTAGATCTTATACATGGTGGGTAAGGGAACACTGAGACCGGACCTCAGCAAGGCTCGGAAAGACACGCCCAAGAGGTTCAAGATCCTCATGCAGGACTGCTGTAAATATGATAGAGAACAGAGGCCACTATTTCCACAGGTATAGCCAATTCATTTGGGATAGGAAAAATGGAAAATATTTCTATAGAGTAGTTGTTGGTTAACCAAGTCTGTTTCCTCCATTGCTTTGTAATTCTATTTATTTCTGCCTTGGGCTGATATACTACCAGCTGTAGATTGTGAATTCTTTTTGTCATTTAATTTTGGTTAAATAGATTATCTAATAAATTTGTAATCGTGAATGTGATTATGACTGACCAATTGTGTATTTGGATGATAAAGAAATTTTCACTGTGGTCTTAAACTTCTCTTTCCAGATTCTGTCAGTGTTAGAAAGCTTGGAACGATCTCTACCGAAGGTTCACAGGAGTGCGTCAGAGCCAACGTTAAATTTGGCCCAATCGGAAGACTTTATGTATTTATGTGCTTCACCTAAGACTCCTATAAATAGCGGCATTCATTTTCTCTTCACTTCAACATCAGGAGGGGGACTAAACTAGAGGCAGGGGCTGGCATCTGTGTTTTCTGTCCGAGAGAGAAGTGGTCTCTTAAACTCTACAAGTGTACACAGATGAAGCTCCAAACATGTGTGATAGCTTGCTTTTTTTTTTTTTTAATTCTTTCCTGATCAGCATTCGAAGCTGAGCTGAATAGCTTAAAGCTTAAAAGCTCAAAACAGCAAGATTTTGTGCCAGTTTTTCCATTTCTGATGTCATTATTTTGGCACAGGGCTGTGTGGTAAAAATGGCCATTTCCCAACATGTAAATAAGATTCCAGTAATTCTGCTTATGAGAACTTCCCTTTCAGCTCTGCTCCACATTTCATAGTTTTGGTTTCATTTTCAAAATGGCAGTACACCTTGGGATTTATATGGATGTACACATACCATGTACAAATTCATGTATAAAAAGTTGATTGGACATTAACATTTGAATCATTTTTTTTTTTCACCAGAAAAAAAAGCATATTGCTTGTAAGTGAACTGATTGTGAATTTTAACTGTATCCCATTTTGAATTCTTGATATGAATTGATTCTCAAATCATTACCTAACAGAAGAAAAATGTTGAATGAATGCAGGCATAATTGATTAAGTATTTCTTGCAATTTTTTTTTCACTCCCAAGGTGGTACACATATTGATTTACTGCATATTTCCATGATTTTTTTTCTCAAATGTCAGCAATGTAGTTTGATCTCTTTGCACCGAAGGCCATAAAACTCTTCTGAGAGAATGGTTCAAGGAAAGACGCATTCATTGACTCTTGGCGAGACATTTCATTTATATAGATGAAAAAAGAGGGGGAAAATATGATTCACCCAATTTGTGATACTTCATAAGTGCACATGACACTTTTTTTTTATTGTAAGAGATGTGAATATAATTGTTGTGAAATCCTGGATGGTTTTCGCTAAAATGTGTGTGAACTTTTTCAGATTTTTGTTCCTTTACATTTGCAGCACTTCATTGTATGAAATAAAGGTTTATTCCTTTAGTTTCATGTGGCACTATATTATGTGTATTTTGGGGAAATAAATTCAAAACTGGACTGTTCTGCCATATGGAAAACCTGCAGTTCTAAGTGCCAGGCAAAAATTAGGCTCTCTTGGTAAATATGGCACCCACTCTGCGAAGACTTTGTTTTTGTGAAAATTTTAATGGCCAAGTTGAAACTAACACTTTGAACACAGTGGTGAAGTCACTTGACAGTGTGAATTTCTGTAATATTCCACAGTGAGGAGGAACGTTCCAATATTTAGCATTTTTCTCCATTGAGAGAGGGGTGCAGCTTTTTTGTGCAATTGAACATGTACAGACTCTCTTTTTGGTGTACGTCTGTGATTTATTTCTGTGTAATGTGAGGCAAGGACATTGTGCAATGACAGTTTTATTTGTTCTTTTTTTTTCTGGACCTGAAATCACATTTTGGAATACAAAATTTTATTTTACAAAGCAGAATTCTATGATATTGCATGAAGGCTGATCATTATTTTATGTAAATTAATCGGTCAATTGTTAAAAGTCAAAATGTTTTGACAAAGTGAAAGAACTGAGATGGTCCAGTCTAATAAATCAATTACAAAAAAAGAGAGAAATATTTCTTTAGGATTACTTCAATATGTGTGCTACATATACATGTAAATGTTATTGCACAAGTTCTTGTGTCCTGTCAATCCCTGGTAGTTTAGAATCGGATATCCAAGTGTTTGACTATTCCATGCTTGTGAAAAGGGGGTAACAGGATTGACCACACAAATAGTCTACATGAGATGCTATTATATTTATAAGAAATGGTTTTTAACGAATGACTGTTGTGAAAGCATTTACTTATTTATAAAGGAGAGAATGTGAGACGATGACTGGATGTGCAATTTATTGATTTAAAAAAAAAGATGAAGAATTTGATTTTTTCTTCATTTTTTTGCTACTGTTTGTAATTTATTTGTTACATATGTGTGCAATTGGTCGCAGATAGGAGTATTCCAATACGGTCTTTATCTTATGTGATCCCACATTCATACTGTACATATCAAGTTTTACCAATAATACTATGTTGTTGTTGTTGTCAATCTTATCTATGTCTGAAAATGATTTTTTTTTCTTGCTTTTTTGATTTTTTTTGCTCTTACTTTTTACTCCACGGTCTCTCAGCTTTATGTGAACCTTACTTTTCAAGGAGGGATGATATGCATTTATTTTTTTCTCAAAAGCTTCTTAACAAATTCAATTGGTCCATGCAGGACCTATAACTAAGTATATAGGTCCCTGGTCCATGAAATTAAAATAGGAAATTAAGGATACAACACAAACAAAAATCTGATGCATGGAATTATGTATTTTTTTGACTGATTTCAAATGGAAATGACATATACATGTATTATTGATCTCTAGATTTATGTAAAGAAATTTTTTCTTTGGTAATAAGAAATGTGACTTTGTATTGATTTCATGTCATTCTAAACAACGTTTTACACATGATCTTTGACATAGTAACAAAATCTTATATTATTCTCCCATTTTATCCGAAAAGTTTTAATCAGGTTACAAGTTCAAATATTAACCTATGAGTAATATTGCTGATTTCTGAAAAGGTCTGACAGTGTTATTTATCCATAATATCCATTGTGCATTTACTTTTGATAAAACTATTTAGATATTTGATAATTTACAATAAATTTCTTAAGAGCGAATTTAAAGATAAAATGGTAGTGATAAAAGTTTTTACACTACACGTAAGATTGGATTCTGATTCGTTTTCAATTTGCTCAACCAATTCAAGAATTCTAAATTCCTTTTTAAGAATATTATACATTATATATAATTATTATACATATTACGTAAAATTTAGAAAAAATAATTCACTCTTGAAAGACCATGCCAGTAACTGAACTTAAATTGATTTTGTTTCTCTGCATTTTCCCCCATTTTGTTTGTTTTACTTTGTTTACCTTTTTCATTAGAGATCTAGTAGAAATTTTCATTTTTTCTTCTTCTATAAATCTGCAAAAGTTTTAACTGCCTGTTTCTTAGAATCCTCACAAAATCTACTTGATACACATTTCTGCTTGTTTTTGCTCATCATGGTGTACGTGGAGATTAATTGAGGATGAGAGGAGTGGATCTCAGTGGGGTGTGAATGATTTGAATGGAGAATGTATTGGCTCTTGTGATGGTTCTTTGTAAATGCAAATATAAAGGAATTTCCTCTACATTGTTTGTGTTTCTTTACAGTTGAATGTTTTACTTTGTACATCAGTAAATATTGGCAAATACAAAAGTTTTAGAGATGAACTCTGATGAAGGATAGGAATACAACTGTCCATAGCTCATGAAGAATTATCTAGTAACCTTCCTGCTTATCACAAGATTCAGTATGTCTGGATTATTTAAGTGATCAGATCCAGATTCATACAGCACCACATAACTCCATATAGCACCTTTTGGCCAATGTTTAAGTTTCTCAAAAGAAGGTCAAACCCAAATGTCAAGAGATGAAAAATAGTGTTCCCCAAAGATAGGCCTTGTCTCAATAATTATAACTGTGAAATGTGAAAGATCACACACCAACTGTTTCCAAGTTATGGTCAAGATAAAAAGTATTTTAAATGTGGGTCAAACTCAAAGGTCATCAGGTCAAATTAATGGTACCCACAGTGAAGGCCTTGTTAATTAGAAATAGGAATGTGAAATATTAAAGCATTCACACCAAATGTTATAAAAAGTTATGGCCATAGTTAAGATTTTTGGTTCACCTCAACGAAGTTGGGGGGGGGGGAGCTTATGTGATACCCTTGGCGTCATGATCGGGAAATAACAGCAACGTCATTAGTATAAAGATAATAGCCCAACAATTAGTATAAAAAAACGTCAGTCAGCATTTGACTCAATGATGAATTGTATTTGCTGACAAGGTCAATGTATCGACCAAAGATCTTACGAAATGATGACTTTAAACAAGACTGTTGATATTCTTGTCATCAACTTGTTTGTCAATACTTAGTAATTTGCCTCGTTTTAGAAATTGTTCATACGTTGAGCATGCTCTTGCGTATCGAATCAAATGAAATATATAGACGCCATATGCAGGTGATGAAGGTTTATTGCTGCATAAGTAAGGGAAATTGACGATAGAAAATTAAAGTCATCACGTTTATCGTAAAGCTTGGTTGTTAGATTACCATTAACGTCTTTTTCAAGCAAATTATCCAAGTTTGAAACAGATGAATTAGACTCTGTGGTATCTTTGATCTCAAGCTCACCAGGATATATCATATCGACATAGGAATGGAAATAACCACTGTTAATTGACAATATGTCGTCGATGTATCTAAATGTCGAGTTGAAGGCCACAGCAAGTGTTTTTTTTTCTTTCCACGCATAAGATTTTGCACAAATTATGCTTTATATGAACCAAGAAAGGTCTGCTAATAACAGAGCGCAATTGGTACCCATGGGAATTCCAATAAATTGTTGGAAAACCTGGTCTCCAAAAACCACAAACATATTGTCAATCAGAAACTTAAGCATCTTTTTAACGTCAACTTCAGAGTACTTGTGTGTACAATCAGAATGTTGTTTAACAAAATAATTTTGCAAATGACCAATGACCAGGTAAGTATAAATTTACGAGTTTCATTTTTATTGAAAAAGCAGTTGTCAATGATAGTAAAAAGCCTGGACTTTAATTTATCGTGGGGAAAGGTTGTGTATAAAGTTGAAAAGTTTTAGGTTTTTAAACTGTTGATTTTGGTATAATCTTGTTATTTCAAATTGTCCAAAAGTTCTTTGGAATTTTTAAGTAACCACATTTGATTCATACCACTTCTTGAATACTAGTATATTGTGCACAGTACTCTTGAAGTTTTTCCTTCACTACTGTCAATATCTTAGTGAGGAGTAAAGAAAGAGGCTTGAATCTAATTGAATTTAATGAAGTTTCGGAATCCAATATATATGGTAGTTCAAAAATATAATTATTTGAACCTACACCGGTTTTTGGGTCTTTTTCAATCTCTGTTGTCATATTTGTTTTTGTTTTTATTTTTGTCATTTGTTATAGAGTTTGGTCTATTTCCAAAAGAAATGCGATGTCAAATTGGTTATAAACTGCGTTGCAATAAAATAATTTGTTGTTTTCTTACCCACCTCTCTGCAAATATCGGGAAATTAGACTTATCTGCCCTTGATTGAAGATAAGATTTATATATATGCATAAGAGGTGGAGCTAATATTGGAATGAGTGGTCTAAAATTAGAATAGTTACTGTACTTATATTTAGTGCATTTCTCTCTCTCTCTCTCTCTCTCTCTCTCATCATATGTTTGTCACTATTATTTTCTAAGTTTTCAAATAAAGTATATAACTAATAACAAATAACATCGACCGGTAGAAGTAGCCATTGATAATCAACAGCAATGCTGAAGTGAATTGGCGTGTTCGAATATAAGTACCAACTAGCTCAGTCGGTAATGCACAGAATCAATAATATTGAAGTCTGGGATCGAGACCCGCTAACAACAGTAAGACGTACTTTGTTTTTCCCTTTTTATAAAAAAAGAAAGAAAAACATCACAATTACTTAAGTTTTTGAAGTTTCTTTTATACTTACTTTTCTCCATAAATTAGCGTGCTGCAGCTGGGGATGGTATGATTAAATTTTTATTTACTGGATCTTATTCTGGATGTTCATGTTAAGCAATGGTTCAAAACATAATAAATAAATCTCTTTTTTTCTTGTAGACTACGGACATGTAGAGACATATAATACACTCAAAAATATATGAATATAGTAAAATGAAAGGCTTTTGAGATAAATATAAGAATAGTCATATATATCTAAGAGAAAAAAGAAAAGCCCGTGGCTCGATGGGAATGGATTGAAACAGATATGGACAATCACTATCGCCCAGCAGAATGTGTGTTTCCTTACACGTCACGTGATGGAATTCTAGTATTCACAGAGTTCCCTTGGTGTAGAAATCACGTGGTTGATTATAATATTCAACAGGTAACAACGTGGTCAAAATGGCCTGTTTACTATAGAGAAAGTGAACACACGAAGAAACAGTTTTTTCTCTTTTTAACCATGAGCGCATGTTTGTCTATTGATCTACTTTAAATATGAGGTAATATATATAAATATACAACTACCATAAAAAGGAGAACAATAGATAAACATGCGCTGACTATGTATTAAGCCTATAAAAAGGTGGGCGTACTCATTATCCTATGGAGATTCCAGAATATGCGATGACCCCTCCCTATAAAAACGACTTCGAACTTCGTTAATACGAACTTTTAATTAACGTAATTACACAAAGTTGCAGTTAAGACATTGGCCATTTCTACCATTAAAAGAAAAATGCCCATTTTTAAACTTAATTATGTCGCAATTTCTTAGTATCCTTAAGCAGTTAAGTGCAGTCATCCTTTTTAGAAGTATAAAATTTTTCTTATTCCTGTGCAAGACGAGGACCTTTATTTTATTTATTTAAATAGATTAGTGTTAAGTTCTATGAAAAAATCATGCATTTTATACGTATTTATATTTTTGATTTGTATCGGAATAAGTAATTACTTTGGCCAAAGTTTAGTCAATTGGCTATAGTTACTTAGATCAGAGGGTCCTTCTACTCGTCCTTTCATTTTTCTTGATCAGGATCTGTGTTTTGATAGAAATATAAGGAAGAAATGTTGTGTATTACTAAAATCTAAGTCTGGAATTTTTATTTGAAATACATTTTTTCAAAGTGCGTTACGTGCCTTCATGGTAAAGTTGTTGATGTACACTTTCAACGCACTTTGAAAAAAAAACACAAAGTGCGTTAATGTTGCACCAAATTTGACACCCTTTAAATTTTTTTCAGAGTGCGTTGATTTTTGTCCCAGTTTTAACACACTTTAATTTGAAAGAATTTTTCAAAGTGCGTATTTTTTTCAACGTGCGTTGCCAAAAATACCCGGTAGGTATTAAACAAAAATTCTGCTTTTCGCACTACTGATCATGTTACAATGTAGCTATATGGTCCGTTGCTGAGCTGTTTACATGTAATATTTCGCCGAGATGCAGAATCATTATTCAAAAAAAATCTGTCCACAAACGATACCCCTGGAAAAAGATAATTTCAGGGTAATTGAAACAAGCTACTAATATATTCCGTTTTGAAATGGGACATGGACACAGTTTCAGCTAAAATTTCAAAATTTATTTTCCCATTCTGTTACGTTGTTTACAAATATTTAAGTATGGTACATGTATTTCTCATGGTCATCAAAAATTTGAATTTAGTTATCGAGATAAAAGACAGATATAGAGCTCCAAACCTTTATGTAGACATGATCGCACACCATGTTCTTGTTTACAATGATTAAACATACCATTATATGTTCGGCCAAAGCAGATTTTTTAATATAAAAAAATAATTCTTGGTTCGATAAGACAGTTTCTAACGATTTGCTAAATGATATTTACTATATGTAATCAAAAACAATGCCAGAGCCTAATTGTTTACATACTGAAGAATTTAAGTTCTGTATTTCCTTTGTAAATCAACAAATGAAGTGCAACTTTTTGCTGATCATTAGGATTACCTTAGTTAGGAATAGTAAACATTAAAATTGGTCTTGAAACATTCAGTTGAAACTGTGTTCATGTCCCTTTAAGGTTCATAAACACTCTGCTCACTCATATAAAATGTTTCTTTAACTCTTTTGATTTTTCAAAGGAAATGTATATGCTAAGTAAAATACAAACAATTATAGCATGGCTTGCAGAGCAAAATAAAACAAACACATTTCAACCTAATAAATTTATAAAGAAATAAAATACATTTATGTCATTTACAGTTATTGATGTACCTTAATCAAGGTTTATTTGAAAACAAGAGGCCCAGGGGCCACAGCGCTCACCTGAGCACATCGGGCTTGAATTTACTCCCCCCCCCCCTTCCAGGCGTTCATCATTTGACCAAACTAGAATCTACACTACCTGAGGATGATTCCATATAAATACCCCGAGTATCACTAATCATAGCTTTGAAGTACTTGAAAAGAAGATTTTAAAAGGTTTCCCTATATATCCGTATGTAAAACTTGGGTCGGCCATTTTGGCCCTACCCTATCCCCAGGGCCGGGGGTCATGATTTGAAAAAACTTGAATCTACACTACCTGAGGATGATTCCACATGAGTTTCATCTTCCCTGGCCCAGTGGTAATTGAGAAGGAATTTTAAAAATATTTCCTATATATTCCTATGTAAAACTTGGGTCAGCCATTTTGGCCCCATCCTTGCCCCGGGGGTCATGATTTTAACAAACTTGAATCTACACTTCCTAAGGATGATTCCACATGAGTTTCATCTTTCCTGGCCCAGTGGTTCTGGAGAAGAAGATTTTTAAAGATTTTTCTTATTTATTCCTATGTAAGACTAGGGTCAGCCATTTTGGCCCCATCCTTGCCCCAGGGGTCATGATTTGAACAAACTTGAATCTACACTACCTGAGGATGATTCCACATGAGTTTCATCTTTCCTGGCCCAGTGGTTCTGGAGAAGAAGATTTTTAAAGATTTTTCCTATATATTCCTATGTAAAACTTGGGTGGCCATTTTGGCCCTACCCTATCCCCAGGGCCGGGGATCATGATTTGAACAAACTTGAATCTACACTACCTGAGGATGACTCCACATGAGTTTCATCTTTCCTGGCACAGTGGTTCTGGAGAAGAAGATTTTTAAAGATTTTTCCTATATATTCCTATGAAAAACTTGGGTCGGCCATTTTGGCCCCATCCTTTTTTGAACAAACTTGAATCTACACTACCTGAAGATGATTCCACATGAGTTTAATCTTTCCTGTCCTAGTGGTTTTTGAGAAGAAGATTTTTAAAGATTTTTCCTATATATTCCTATGTAAAACTAGGGTCGGCCATTTTGGCCCCACCCTTGCCCCGGGGGCCATGATTTGAACAAACTTGAATCTACACTACCTGAGGATGATTCCACATGAGTTTCATCTTTCCTAGCCCAGTGGTTCTGGAGAAGAAGATTTTTAAAGATTTTTCCTATATATTCCTGTGTAAAACTTGGGTCGGCCATTTTGGCCCCACCCTTGCCCAGGGGGTCATGATTTGAACAAACTTGAATCTACACTACCTGAGGATGATTCCACATGAGTTTCATCTTTCCTAGCCCAGTGGTTCTGGAGAAGAAGATTTTTAAAGATTTTTCTTATTTATTCCTATGTAAAACTTGGGTCGGCCATTTTGGCCCCACCCTTGCCCCAGGGGTCATGATTTGAACAAACTTGAATCTACACTACCTGAAGATGATTCCACATGAGTTTTATCTTTCCTGTCCTAGTGGTTCTGGAGAAGAAGATTTTTAAAGATTTTTCTTATATATTCCTATGTAAAACTAGGGTCGGCCATTTTGGCCCCATCTTTGCCCGGGGGTCATGATTTGAACAAACTTGAATCTACACTACCTGAGGATGATTCCACATGAGTTTCATCTTTCCTGGCCCAGTGGTTCTGGAGAAGAAGATTTTTAAAGATTTTTCTTATATATTCCTATGTAAAACTTGGGTCGGCCATTTTGGCCCCACCCTTGCCCCGGGGGTCATGATTTGAACAAACTTGAATCTACACTACCTGAGGATGATTCCACATGAGTTTCATCTTTCCTAGCCCAGTGGTTCTGGAGAAGAAGATTTTTAAAGATTTTTCCTATATATTCCTATGTAAAACTTGTGTCGGCCATTTTGGCCCCACCCTTGCCCCGGGGGTCATGATTTGAACAAAATTGAATCTACACTACCTGAGGATGCTTCCACATGAGTTTCATCTTTCCTGGCCCAGCGGTTCTGGAGAAGAAGATTTTTTAAAAATGCCATTAATTTTTAACAAATTCATGATTATCTCCCCTTGGAAAAGGGCGTGGCCCTTCATTTGAACAAACTTGAATCCCCTTCACCCAAGGATACTTTGTGCCAAGTTTGGTTGAAATTGGCCCAGTGGTTCTTGAGAAGAAGATGAAAATGTGAAAAGTTTACGACGACAACAACGACAACAACGACAACGACGACAGACAACGGACAAATTTTGATCAGAAAAGCTCACTTGAGCCTTCGGCTCAGGTGAGCTAAAAAGTAATAGGTAAGCGAGGTAAGATTTCACAATATCATCACTCTTCATTTTGCCGAAAATTATGCCATGCTTTAGATCTGTAAAATTAAAGATCATAGTATGCACGAGGGTTGGTTGGGAAATACCAATAAATACTTAAAAATTATCTAACCTGAGAAATACAAAATTGGAGATTTAATTTCTTTTATACATTTATTCTTATAAAAATTCAAAAGTAAAAATAAACATTTTAAAAGAATCACTGAATATATCTAAAACTGTAATTTATCATACTTAGTGCATATCACTACTTTAGGTCTGCTTCCCTTATGCATTTTTTAATTGATAGATCATCCATCAGTGTTTCCCTAATTGTATTTAAAAACAAAACAAAAGTTTTCTTTTTAGGTTTGATATTTTCACTATATTCTACACTTAATTATTTCCCTCAGACCCTTCTTAAGTTACATGATAAATGGGATCTTGAAGTTCATTTCATTGACCCTTTATGGAATATATCACCGGGGAAAATAAGTGTCAAACTTTCCGGCAACAATAAAACATAAAAATGCTAACGATGGAATAGCACTTTATTATAAACTGAGGTCGGTAGGGCGAATTCTGGAAATCCAAAAATTGCACCCGAACAATCCAAAGCCTAGGAGTTAACTGATTAACAATGATTCATGTAACATATAAATAATAAAATATAACAATGGCAATTAGCACAATTCTGAGCATGAGTGACAGATGGCTGAGATGGAATAACTCATGACATGTTGCGTAAATTGATTAAATAATTAATTTCCAGATTCGGAGTTACATAGTAATTAGCATAATTAAAGTTTTTCAAGTTGTTTAAAATAATTAAAGTAAATTAAGAGTATATTTTAAAGTCAGCTAAAACATATGTCACTAAAATTGTTTTTATAAAAAATCACACCGTGATAATTCCCTCTAGCTTCGGAAAATGAGACGTCCTCGTCTCAGGAACCACCGGGAACTGAAATGCAGAGCACTTGGTTGTCGATTCCAGTAGGGAATGGTTGGTGTAGGAAGCGGTAGGATTTGGTGTTGCTTGGTAACACGTTTGGTTGAATTGATGGGTCTTCGTTAGTTGTTTGTTTGATTGTGGCTGCTTTGCAATTTTGAAATGTGATTATGAAGGGCGGATGTCACTGCTTGCAGATTTTCACATCTCCTTGTTAGTTTACTGATCTTTGTCGTTAATGTCTTGTTTTTATTCTCTAATGCAGTTAATTGGGAGGTATGGCCAGTTGATTTAAATAAATTGCAAATCTCTTCAGAGCTTAGGTCTTAGAATGGTAAAGATTTTACTTACTAACTGCAACCTAACGAAATAATCCTTTATTCTTCTTGAATCCCTGCGCCGTTTGCCCACGGACTTAGTCTGCAGACAAAGCATGCTCTTCCTTTGCGTCTCCGCAACAGCAACACTCATCGGACTAGATTTGGTAGCAGTCCGAGAAAAACACACACCTGCAGTAGAATCGCATGTTGCCGACTTGTTGTCAGACGATCCTACAGACGGGTTTCCCAGGTTTGTCTTCAAGCAGGCCCGTCCTGACCCCTTGGCTTGATCCCTTATGATCGTTGAGTGATCGATGGATGCTACTGGAAATTATTTCCTTTGGGAGGAACGGTAAGGTATGGTTGCAGAAGAGAAACATACTTGCGCATAATGACCATGTTTTCCGCACACGAAACACTCGGAACGTGTAGCTGGACACGTGAAAAGGTGGCCATGGAAGAAGGATTTCCCGCACCTATAGCACCGTGGAATGGATCCTGGTGTCGAGAAAATTCGTGCTGGTCCTGGTGTGATCCAAGAACGCGAAAGACAATGGCGCTGGTTTAATGTTGAGGAGGAGCGGTAAAGTCCTTTTCTCCAGGTTGGCATGGTGTTGTTGAAGATAGATCGTCTTGGGGGAACTCGCTTAGTTGATGGTAATCAGGATCAAACTGCTACAAAATACATGCAGCAGTCCCGGATGTTATACCCTTAGGATATCTCCACCAAATTATCACCGGGGAAAATAAGTGTCAAACTTTCCGGCAACAATAAAACATAAAAATGCTAACGATGGAATAGCACTTTATTATAAACTTAGGTCGGTAGGGCGAATTCTGGAAATCCAAAAATTGCACCCGAACAATCCGAAGCCTAGGAGTTAACTGATTAACAATGGTTCATGTAACATGTAAATAATAAAATATAACAATGGCAATTAGCACAATTCTGAGCAAGAGTGACAGATGGCTTAGGTGGAATATAGATGTTTTTATAAAAAATCACACCGTGATAAATACATCTGACTTAAGGGTTTTTGTAGCTGCGGAAAAGTTTCTGCTTGAAAAAAATTAAATCGGATAGATAATGCAGAGAGCTACAGGTCCAAGCTTCGATTTACGCCGCCGCTTTTTTGTTGCTCAGTTCAGGTATTATTTCTGATACTTATGTACAATGTAACTCCTATTATTGATACTTTATTTACCTTTTAAAAGTTCCAAAAGGCCGTTTGTGCATTAATACAGATGTAAAAATGGGAATCGTTTAAACCATAAAGGATTGTTTCGGGCCGTTGAATGGTAAATAAAGTATCAATAATCAGTAGTACAATAAATGATTAATTATGTGATACCATTCTAAAAGCAGGGGAAGACATAAACAACAAGAAATAATGCCTGAAGTAAGCGACAATAAACGGCGGCGTAAATCGAAGGTTTTTACAACGCTAGGGAACTGTAGCTGTCTGCTTTATCTCTATTAATTTTCTTCAGCAGAGTGCTATGGTTTAGCAACTATGATTTTTTCGTTGATGCTCTTCATGACCATGTATAGTAAAAACATTGACGTCATAATTTGACATTATAATGGCTATATAACAATTTGTGGCTACCAATTAAGTTTTTTAGACAATAAATTTTAGTCTTCTTTGTACATGTATATCCGGTCAAGCATTTATGTGTTTTAATTAGTTTATATGCATAAATACATATACCTTACTAACTTACCTGTATATCAACTTTCAATATTTATAGGCGTATGCATGTACAGACGTACTACAATATTACTGCCATCTGTATATTTATATTTTACGTCTCTTGGCAACTTATTCGATACTCCATAGCATGTCATTTCAAGTCGCCAGAGCTTGAACTCTTACTTCACGCATTACATATATATACTAGAGCTCAATCATGGTTTTAACAAACAAACATAGATACAAATGCGTTACAACCAAACTGTTCCCTTTTTGTAAAGGTGAGCAATTGGGCATGGTTTCATAAGTTGTTTTCATGAATTCCGTTGTGGCGTCTATTGTTTCGCTTTCTGTTTCATGGATCGTTGTGGGCATAGTGGTTATGTCAGGACAGGTCAAGTTTGCTGCTGATAGACTGACTAATGGAGTTCCCTTTAAGTTCTCAGGAGTGAGGCACCGTGGATTTCCGGCTAAAGTGACACTTCCAGATTTGACGAAATCAATAAGGCCTTGCAACTTGCAATCGCAGTCAAAAGGATTATTAAGAATATTCCTGGATAAAAAAAAATGTATCTGAATTCATGAATATCATTACCCTTTTTAAAAAATATTCGCTTACAGATAATATACATTTTTGTATAATTATTGACTGGGTATGAGGGCAACATATGATTTGTTGGACCTGAAGGTAAAAAATGTTTCCCAAGGCCGCATGCCAAGGGCAACATTTTCACCTTCAGGTCCAAAAAATCATATGTTGCCCGAATCCCAGTCTATAACTGTTTTGTTATACCCTTCACTGCTCACTTAAGATTGATCAATTAAAACATGCTATATTATCAATTATTTTATATGGAAAATTACGGCTTCTTCAGTAAATATAAAACATCAAGCTGAGAAAGAACAAAATCAATTATATATCTATTGTATCACAAAAATTATTTATTACAAAACATACTCTTCCCTTCTTCCTTACCTTGCTGCTAGCAACAACTCTTGTAGCTCTTAACTTCGGCTATTTTCGCGTCGCCGATATTGGACGATGATTAATTACTTGTGACGTAACAGACGAGTGACGTTGCGGTCTAACAATTCTTATGTAAGACCGGTCAATAGTGAAATTGTTAGACCGATGTAATAAACAGTTCTTTTGTTGCACTTTTTATAAGTAATAAATATATAGAATGATATTTATAAGGGTATAACAATATACAATATAACCCTTTTATGAGGTCGGGGCTTTTCTGTAAAGTCGATATATTTATGAATCGACCGAAAGAAAGGGCTATATTTGTTATATTTTTATTTAAATAAACAAAACAAATCCGATTTTTAAAAAGAATAAACTTCAGTTTTCGTCTCTCTTAACCATTTTATTGATGTTAACATATGCACTGTCATGACAGCACATTAAACATCGAAATTAAAAAAAATGCTGTTTTAACGGCATTGTGTATCTTTTATAAGTAATTAATAATTGAGGGAATGTTGAAAATTGAAATGCTAAATTTGTTTATGGTTTTTTTGTATAAATTTATGTTTAATGTATTAAGCATCTCTTATGTTATCAATGTACAGCAGATCCAAACTCAAGGCTTTTTACGTCTTACCCACTACTGGTTGTAACTCTGTATTTGATTGGATATTTTGTATCGTATAAAACGGATTTCCTACGTCACAATGACTCTTCGCGGTTTATAATTATTGTAAACTGCCCCAACCCAGTTCATACCGTATAAAATGGATAGCTATTAAATTCATTCCTTAAATATATAATTATGTTCTAAAACAGGGGAATATCTGCAGACTGAAAAGCACTGATAATTTTATAAGCAATGACGCCATATGTTTAAAACGGCGTCAGGAAAATGACGTAAATTAGAAAATTCCCTAATTTTTACAGAAAAAGGTATATACGAGGGGCGTTCAATAAATAATGTCATTGGGGATCGGAAAGAAACAAAAAAATGCTTTTTATGACTTAGTCTTAAGGATTTAACTAAAATAATCTCTTTCAATTAAAACGCATATCCATAACATTTTCATTCTATTTCTAATTGTTTTTCGAACACATTTTTGAGTATGACACTACGTATACTGGAATATGGCAGATCCTATAATTTGTTGTACTTGTTTTTTTCTTTCTGATAGATGTTTTTCTAAGTTTAGGAAATAAAACAAGTCAAAGGTTGAAAGATCTGGCATATTTTGTTGGTGTGACAAAACATTAACTTTCTGTTTATCCCCAAATCTCCTTTACTCTTCATAACCTGTGGGTTTGGACGCCGTCATGAAGACATTTAATGTAGTGAATTTCTCATTCTGTTTCCTTCTCTCATAAACCTTTAAATTTTTTTGCAAAAAAAAAATGTTTTCTAGACTCCTCCAGAAATTGAACTTCCTCCCGAATATGAATTTGAGCAACAAGACCAGTAATATTTAAGAAAATAGCATATAAAATTGTTTTATGCTCTTGCAATTCTTTGCTCTTCTTAGGCCTTTGCAGTTTCGTCAAGTGCATCTTATTGTAAATTTGTTTTGAGGGCTAAAATCAAAATGGATTCAAGTTTTTTTTATCTGTTAGAATTTCATACAAATGTGGATAAGTACAATTTTTGATTTTTTGAAATAATTATTTGGATATTCCTACACGCTGTCGTTTTCACTCATTTTTCAAAATATAGGGTAACCTTTGAGTATTAAACTTTTTTTTACTATAAAATGTTTCTTTAAAGCAGTATGAACTATCCCCAAAATGAATTTTATCAATTTTGCTATGTGTCTTAAAGTCAATAAAACATAATCAGTGATAATTTGTTGAAATTTCGCAAAATTACATCGGTTGTTGTAAGTCATTGTTGCCAAGGACGGTACCCATTTTTAATGCCTATTATATAATTTTTGTTTGTGGAAATCTGCTTGTTCACCTGTCTATAAAACATGCATTGGTTGCTGTAAATTTCACATATTTCAGTTCATATATTTTTGGGATATTAATAATTTTACAGCTGCTTTAATGAAGCGTTTAATTTTACTCTAGTTTACTGATTCTTGACCATACATTTTTTATGCAGTCTCTCGAATAACCCTTGTTTTCCAGCGTACCACGATGAAATAATGCGATGAAAAGTGGTCACACACACTGTTATCAATTCATCAAAGATTCAATAATGAGAGAAAGTCAAGCTTTATGTCATATTACTACTATGTTGTATGTCATTGAGCCAATGACATTATTAATTGAACAATATTGCTAATATTTAGTATTTTGATATAATGTGTAGAATGATAATATCAATGCAATTATAAATATTGTTCTTGAGCAGGCCTGTGCTATATGAATTTTATAGCTACAATTGTTAAAATTTTGTCTAATTTTGTCCCATTTCTGAGAAATGATACAAATTCCGCCAGTTTCAATCTAATTAAGATTCAACGTTAGATCTGCTCGCATACTCGTTACACTACATGCAACATATAACAACATCCCATAGTGTGTTACGTCAGAGCTCAAATTCTACCAACCAATCAAATCGTCGCCTGCAAAATCATCGTATATTTGTTGACGCGAATAAGTCTCGAGTTGTTCCGAATTTGACCTTTGACGTGACCCTCCATTGGACGTTGTTAGATGTTAGTGTAGCGAGTATGCGATCGGACCTAACACCTAATTTTAATTAGATTGCGCCAGTTTGTGACGTAATAAAAACAAAAATTGTAAATAACCTACTTTGAAACTATGATTTTTTTTTTTGTTAATTTATATTTCTCATATATAATTTATACAATTCAGCACATTTCAAGAATTTTTCAAAATATGATTTATGGGAGCTTAAAGATGCAATATACCGCATGTAGTCCTTTTATCAGTCTATCCGTACTGGCTACTGAAAAGATAATTAATGATATGCCCCTTTTTAATTGTTTTCATGAGAAACGTCAGGCCTAACACTTATATTGGGTGCTTTATTCCTTTGACATCTGTGTGGCCAACCAGAAGTCCAACCACTTTCAACAAATTAAGCCTTTCTTACATTATATTCTATATATCGCAAAATACGATGGATCTATCAGTATCCTAGTATGTGTCTGACCTTTACCAAAATTTTTCACGATTTTGATATTTTACGTGCCAGGTTTTCCTGGCGCGTGAAATTTCAAAATCGTTAAAAAAGCGTGGAAAACATTAGACATTTCGGACTACTGGGCAGTATCCTAGCCCCGTGAGTACTGTCGATGTATAAAAATGACTTCGAAGTGAAAATCATTACTTTCAGTCAAAAGTTCGTTTAAAATATAAAAAATCCAAAACATTGTCACATATGTATAAAAAAAGCTTATATCAAAGATTATATATTTTGAACATGGTCTCAACTTTCTTCCGACAAGTCAACAACAGTGCGACATCATATATTTTAAGCGTTATCAATATTGTTCAAACTTTGGTGGATTTAAACACCGAAAAATATATGTAATTTTGAACATCACAAAAACTTACAATTGGTTTAAGTTTGTCAAACCAACAAATGTGGTGTTCCTTATAGTCGCTATCTTGTTCTCATGCAGCTCTCTGGAAAAAAAAAATCAATTAACACGTTCTATTTTCTACTAGCTTCACAATATTAAAACATGGAATTTACACGGTATAAACTATGTTTATAGCATACAAAGCATCAAAGAAGAATAGATGCATGGGATATAATAATTTATTGCATGATAGTGAGAAAAAACATGAAGATTTCTTCGCCCATGAAAAATCATATTCCCTGCGGGCTTTGCCCTTGGGGAATATGTTATTTCATAGACGAAGAAGTCTTCATGTCTCCCTCACTATCATGCAATAAATTGTTTATTATACCGAATTGAGCACAATGTAGGAAGTATAAAAATCCAACGAATTAAGTAAATATTTGATGACAATACGAAACACATGAATTAAGAGCAACACTACTAGTCGCCCTTCATAAAAAACATTCCTTCTTGACAAGTCAGACGAGTGTAATTTAAACCCAGTAACATTAAAACTTCTCCTATGTAAACACTTCAGATTCTAGATATATATTTTTATTGTACACTTTTGAATCGACACAGTCATAATTCAATAGTACATGTAACCATCTCAGTCGCCGCAATGCGGGCGTTGCCCTCTGGAAACACGTCCACATTGAAGAAATTCGACAGTCACATGATATGATTTTATTTTACTAGCTATTATTTATATGAGGTATAATAAAATAAACAGGATGAATGACATTCGAAATTTGTTTTAAATAACGAACTTACAGTTTCTCTAATTTTGTCAAATCATTGAACGCTTTATCCTCAATTGTGGTTATGTTGTTGTTGTTTAGAAACCTGTAAGAAATTGAAAAGAGTAAATGTCAAGTTGTAGTATGTTTCACACTAAAAAACTAATTACAATTTTTGCTCATTCTTTTAGAACATCATTATTTTGAAAATCAATCACGTGAATAATTCTTACAAGCTTCAATATAAAGGTCTGGACGATTTCCAAATATGGAATTCAAGAACGATAATTGAAAGCTGCTATAAATATACATAATATAGACCTAATTATTTTTCTGTCCAATCAGACAACAGCAATTTTACACATTCCAAAACATACTTTAAAAGAACAAAAAGAAAACACGTGATTGTGTTTATTTCCTCAAAAAGATTTTTTTAGCAAAAAATCTCTAGAAGTTAAGATGAAAACGTTTGAAGAATAAGGTATTCCCAACATATTTACTAGTACCTTGAACAACCTTGACATTTTTATCTCGGAAAAGAAAGAAAAATATGCAGGATACTGTGTAATCGTTTACTGAGGAATAAATAACACCAGGAAGTTCTTATCAAGTTCAATTGTAACATTTACCAGAATATACTCTATGCTGGTAAGTATAATTTTGCTTAGCCATCCGATTTTCATCGATGATGCTAAAATTCCATGTGTATAGATCCACACCACACAAGTGTTTATCGTATCGTAAAATATCACGGATTTCATGATCGCGTTTTATCCTAATATCTTACCTTGCATACCAAAACCTGCATGGACGGTTTTGTTATAAACACTCAAAAAATAATTTAGACTGTTATTCATTCGATAAGATTTTTACATCAGGCCCTAAAACTGAATTTTTTTTTATTCTTATCAATGTTTAACGTAAGTTAAACTTTTGGGATTGATACCTCCTAGTGATCGACATATTTTTAATCCAACTTAAAAGGTTTTTTAAGCTTTCAAGTCGTGTTTGTTCACGGTAAAATTGTGATAAATATTACATTTTTTCCTGTTATTTGATTGGTCATATTTTTTATTCTGTGTATTTAAAGCATAACATTTACAAAAAAAATGTAAACATGTACAATTTCAACTTTTTTTTTATCCATCAATGTGAATAACGTATTTCGTATTAATTTATCCTTTGAATAATAAAATGTAGCTACTTCACACATATATCAATTAAATATACTGAGTTATTTCTATCAAATTGTTTGTTATTAATGTTTGAGTCATCCTTAAAAATCATCCATAAGACTGTAATACGATATATCGTTCATGAATTTGTTGAATCAAAACAGAGAATAAACCTTAGGTAAATTTAAACTCCAAAAAATTCTGTCCGAGATAATCTAATTTGAACTTTAGAAACTTACAAGCTCTTTAAGTTTGTCAAACCAATAAAGGTGCCCTTCTTTATTGTCATTATTTTGTTCTCAAACAGCCATCTGAAAAAAAGTGATTGTCTACAGCAAGTTTCTTTCCCACGCGAAATAATTTTCCTTCATAAAAAAATTAAAAGTTTAAAGTCAATTATTATGTACGTAAATAAGTCTTCCTAGCTTTACAATGTCAGTACATGGAGATGACACGGAATAAACTGAAAAAACTAGGCTAAGCTTTATATAAACCGCGAAGCTTCCATGAAGTTTGAATGCATGAAATATTGTTTGGAATATTGATATCCCCAAAATATTTTGAATAAAAAAAGCTCAATAAAATCTTTCTAATTTAGTCAAATTATTGAATTAATCAATGCATTGGCTATTACAGGTTTGAGGATTGATATCTCAAAAATAATTTAAGGAAAAAAAACACAAACAGACATTTTTGTTAAGAAATCAGCAATATTTCTCATATATTTACATTCAAATTGGTTTCCTGAATAATGTTTACTAAGTATAATTTGAGAATTTAATAAGATTTTGTCATAAGGTTAACAATTTGTTCAAAATTTTGTATGGAATTATGTAGAAAGCAAAACAAAGTATCATATCTAAGCAACAAGGAAAATGTACGATTTCTTTAAAGAACTATATGCGGTATATTGCATATATTTGCCCCCACAAAAGTCAAATTTTGAAAATTTTCTGAAATGTGCTGAATTCAATCAATTGTATGAGAAATATAAATTACCAGAAAATATTATAGTTTCAAAGCAGTGTATTCACAATTTTTGTTTTTATGACGTCACAAACTAGTGCGATTTTATATCCTTTTTCAGAAAGAGGACAAAATGGACAAAATTTCAACAATTTTAGCTTTAAAATTTATAGAGCGCAAGTTTGTTCAGGAACAATATTGACCTATTTCGTTGATATTATCATTCTACACATTATATCAAAATATTGAACACACATGCGCTCGGTACTTTTACTCAAAATATCGATGAAATATGTACATTTTTCTATAAAATTCATTAAAAATGGAAATTTACGTCATGTTTGTGACGTCAATGCGTACATATGGCGTCATTACGAAAATATTCAGTGCTTTGAAGTCAGCATATACTCCCCTGTTTAAGAACTTAATTAAATATATCTCCATTAAAGTTTGATTTGGGGGGCAAATATTGGTTATTACCGAATAAAGTTCTTTCAGGGATTTATTATTAATGGCATTTCAAATCAAAATCAGTCCAAAAATATACATCAATCCATGCATCATGAATTTATTTATTTCAATTAAAAAGGTACCCTTAAATAACGAAATATATGGAGAACTTTCGAGCGAATATTTAAAAACTTTATTTATGAATTTGAAGCAACTTAAACAGTTAAACTAGAGACACCTTGAAGGGGTTGCGATCTGTTGATGAACATTTGATTTGATTATATTGAAATATTCATATGTACAGAATGTACATAATGACGTTCTGAATCTTCGGTAAGAGGATGGAATGTGTTTTACGACACTAGGTATGGTGCCTATATACATGTACATATAAAGTTTTCAAAGAAAAATATCTCGTATAAAGTGTTTTCCGTGCATTAAAAAAAATTAAATGATAAACCTACATCAATTAAATGATTACGGTACGGTGCAACTAGCAATCATAATGTTACCTAAAAGTGTGAAGAAAAAAAAATACTTGTCTTTGTTTTCATGCGTAAAGTCCAGCTATGGTCTGGGAGGGATATGAATATTCGACGCAAAAGTACTGTCATTAAGAGATGAATACTAGTAAATGGTCGGCCTTAAAAAAGTCGATAAATCTATTTGATTAAAGTTTTTGAATTAAATGTGCTTAATTCAATAAATTGTATGAGAAATATAAATTAACAGAAAATATTATAGTTTCAAAGCAGTTTTCACTCCACAAACTGTATTTTATATCCTTTTTCAGCAAAATGTTTACAATTTTAGTCACACGCATATTTCAAAATCATTCTGCACATTATATCAAAATATTGAGTTTTACTGTGTAATTTTTCTGTAAAATTCATAAAAAACTGAAATTGTCACAGTCAAACAGCTAGCCGAATGAAGAACCCTGGAAATTACAGTCTCTCAAACTTTGTCAAATCATTGAATGAATCAACTAAGTGGGTATTTTAGTCTGGGAAATTTATATTCAAGAAGAATTTTTAGTAACGAACTTACAATAACTCATTTTTGCAAAGTAGAATGCGTTATCTTCTATTGCAATTATGCTTTTCTGGTTTGTTCTTCTTTATTTTAGATCGGGATTGAACTTGTGAAAATGGCGACTTCACCATTTCGCTAATATTGAATTATGGATATATTGAAATAATTTGCATTGTCCCCTGAATTTCAATATATCCGGAGTAGGCTGTGCATTGGATGAATCAATATATAGAAAAAATTATAGTTTTGAAAATTGGTCTTGAAAAACCAATTTTTCATGACAAACTTACGATCTCTCACATTTTGTCAAATCCTAACATGAATCAATGCATGGGATATTATGGTTTCAAGCATTAATATTCAAGAATTTTTAATAACGAACTTACAGCATCTCTAATTTTGTCAAATTATTGAAAGCGTTATCCTCTATTGTCGTTAAGCTGTTGTAGGAAAAAAACCTGAAAGAATTTTTGAAGAGCGAATGTCAGTTTATGTCACCCTAAAAATTCATTAAAAATTCTAATTCTTTACGAAATCTTTAACTATGTAAAGCATCAATAACATGAATAATTCGTACTAGTCTCACATTTTAGTCCTAAATCCATAAAGAATGCAATGTACATATGTCATACATTTCAAGTAAATCAAGTGAGTTACATCTATCATATTGTTTGTTATCAAGGTTCGGGCCATCATTTAAATAAAAAATCCAAAATTCGATGCTTGCAATCGTTGAATCAAAACACAGTTTAAAAAACGTTGATAAATTTATACTCAAGAAACATCTGTATTCAGGAATTAATAGAATAAAAAACTTACAAATACTTTATGTTTGTCAAACCAATAAATGCGTTCTCTTTTATTGTGATTATCTTGTTACTGTCCAGAGATCTGAAAAAAGCAATTACATTATCACGTTAAAATTGCTACAAGCTTCACGATGTCAATACATGGGATTCACATATTATAAACTGAGTGTGAGCGGTTTACGCTATTGACAATAGAATTTCACGTACCAAAACTTTACTTTAAACGAGATTTTTTTCACTCTTGTTTTATAAAATGTTTATCAATAGTTTGCCCCTTTTTAGAAATTGTCTGTACAAAGAGCATGGGATGCTCAGTCCTCCATGGCACCTGATCCCAACTCTGATGTTTTGTAGGTCCTTGTTTGCTCTGCCCCTATTTGTATTGTTTTATAGACTTTTGATCTTAGAAAAATGTTCGTTATCTTCATATGTTAGAGATAAAATACAAACACTAAAGGCTTCTTAAATTGTTTAAAAACAGAGAAGAAAAATATTGAATATTTCAAAACTACTTACGGTAAACAAAGTAAATGACGGAAGAAAGTGTACTTTAAGATATTTATATTTTGTACATTTGTTCCATTTCTAAGAAACGGAGCTAACATATTATCACATGACAGAAAACGACCATAGATTACGACAGCAATGATACCTGGCGTCCTTAGTTAAATAAAGTTTTGAAATCTACACTTAAATATAAAAATAAAGGATAAATAATTTGATCTTTTTTGACCAGAAGTGAAGTATTGTCAATTGACGAAAAATAAGGCCGTCTACAAGCAATTTCTGAACAATTTTATACGACATTTTTATGATGTCATTAGCGCCGTCTCTTTGATTCAAAAGAAACTTTACTTCTATGATTTATTAGGATTAAATTCTCACGATTTTTAAAATAAACGCTGATGGTTTAGAAGACAAACAATGGACCTACAAAATATACAATAAAACATCATTTATTGATATTTCAAAATCCTTGAAGTCAGCTTGGCAAAGAACAAAAAGACAATGTAACGATGGATCAGTGATTTTTCATAAACTTCATGATTTTTTTTTTTTTATATCTATCGTTTTACATGCAAGGCGATGTTTCAGCGTAACATATTCTGCCTAAACCAAAATCTTACTCACCGGTGTAAACCAGGGATAGGTTAATTGAAAAAAAAAAGTAATTTAAAATGACTGTAACTAATTACCTGTTTTAAGTAATTGGAAGTAATTTGTAATTTAACATTTTTTCAATTACTTGTAATTGTAATTCAATAAATTACACTTTTTCAATTGTATTCAATAACTTTATATACTACACATTCATGATATATTGTCAACACTTCTTCCTCATTTTACTTTTTTAATTTCATTGTAAAATATATCCTCAGTCCTTTAATTATTCAAATGTCCTTCTAGCTTAAGAAAGGAAAAACTTTTGATATGATAATTTTTTTTACATCTATACAGATTTATATGATTTAAATTTGTATCTTTTAAAGTTATGTTCTGTACAAGTATTATTTATTGAGTAAAATGTTCAACATAAAAGGAAATTAAGATATTCAAGTATAAAGCCTTCAAAGGAAAATTTTAATTTGAGGGTTTCAGTTGCAACTCATTTTAATGACTTTTATTCAAATATCATAAGCCATGCAATTTGTGTACATGTAGGTCTTGTGTGGAGAAATCTGCACCAAACTGATCTCGGATGTTTCTTAAATTATTTGAATATAAGTTAAAAATTAAACAACAAAGATTTACAAGACCTATTGCAAAAAATGTCTTGTATTGTTTGCGCATATATAGACTAAGCTTATATGCAAATGAACAACGTCCTGCATCTTCACTGACAAAAAGTTATAAAATTTTACAACAAAAGTAATTTAATTAATGACGTATACTTTTGCAAAGTATTTGTACTTTAATTAAATACACATTTTAGAAAGTCTGTCATTTGATTGTAATTCAATTGAAGAAAAAGTCAATGTAATTGTAATTTAATTAATTACCCTTTAAAGTAATTGACCATTTCCCTGGTGCAGACAACATCAGTCTCTTATATGAATTATGGGATATGCTTTATACCTTAATACTTACAGTCGACACACGTTGCTGGGGAGAGTAGTAGGTACCTGTGTTAATGCTCTATTCGTGCAATCCGCTTGCTGTCCAGAGCAGGCGGCTGTATCACTACAGGTACACGGGCTACAGGCTTCGATCAGAGTTTCAAATAATGAAGTGCAGAAAACCAACACCCACAGTGTTAAATTCATGGTTCAAACCTGTATGCTATGTCTTCGAGTAATTCAAACTCGTACAATGTCAAACAATTTCGTATATTTGTCGAGGACATCACCCATCCTGTAGATGCACCTAAATACGGATGTACTAGAGGCCATAAGTTTACATTACGTTTACATAAAGGTACACGTGTGTATGTAAATATACACATGAGGATATAATAAACTCACCTAGCCCTGTACAAAGTCAGATTTCATTAATAATTATCTTCATTAAAAACAAAAGCAATATTTTTTTGTTGTATTTAAAAGCTTTAGATATCAGGAAAACCACAGAGAAGTAGAATATATGATTTCAGAGACATCTGAATACTTGATATCGCGATTACTTAACTTAGTGGAACTCTTTCGCGTAGGAGGTAGGAATCGTCTGTTGGGTGGGGGCAATGTGCTATTCAATACAATGCAAGATCGATCATTGTAGCATTTATAAGGACTTAAGTAAAAAATCCTGGTTTAGACAATCGCTGGATATATGAATGTCCTAAATTGTCACATTTTTAACGATATTTTTAATTAAGCGGGCTCTTCTCGTTAAATTTTCATTGAATTCATTTTTATATATTTACAATTACCATTTGGAGTTCAATATCTGGCAAAACATCGTGATTTCGTTAAATTGTTCGAATCATTCGTTTATTGTAAACAATGTCTTTGCCCCCAGAAATTTAGACTTTTCCCCCCCCGCAAAAGAGCGGTAGTAAGTTAGATAACTGCAGGTACTCATTGGTTATATAACGTATTACCTAAGGTCTTTAGATGAATCACAATTAGCAATATAATTGTAAGATGTTTTGTAGGGTTTATGGCATCTTTTCCCCCTTCCATCCATTTTTTATGAGATCACATAGCAAAAAGTATAAGTTTACATGATTTCAACTTTTCATCCATCAACTTCCCTTACTAATACAACAATATACCTTCACCACTTACATACGGGGTATATATCTCCCAGTTGATTCGACACACAAGAGTATGCTCTACGTATGAACAATTTCTAAAACAAGGTAAAGTATTAACAAACAAGTTGTCTGAAACTGAAATATCAGCAGTTTTGTTTAAAGTCATCATTTGGTAAGTTTTGTTGTCGATACATCGGACTTGTCAGAAAATACAATTTATTACATGTATAAAGTCAAATGCAGACTGGCGTTATACATACTGACTGTTACATTGTAGGTATTCGCCATTATATGCACATTGTATTGACGACGTATTAGTCTCTTATTTCCGATCATAAAAAGGAGCAGGTGGCGGATGTGATCGGTTGGCATGGATGCTCATTTCTCGGTTTTACCTGATCCCTCCTCTGATCATTTGGAGATCCGTTCTTGCTCTCCTCTAATTTGTACTGTTTCATGGACTTTTGAGGTTGAATACTGTTCATTATCTCAATATAATTCATTGGTTGATTGCATGATGTGACACGGGGCCTCTGTTTTTAACAATTTTTTAAGGAACCGTTGCTACCTTATTTTTTTTATAAACTTACGTCAATGGCAACCGAAATTCGAACTCACGACCCTTCGATCACAGAGCTAGCGTTCTACCCACTTAGCTACCGGAGCAATATTTGATAAGATCGAAACATATGGAGATAGGGAACAATTTTTCAAGATTAAAACTCCATCAAACAATACAAAACAGGAGCAGAGCAAACACGGACCTCCAAAAGATGGAAACTTGTGCCACAAAGTAGTGAGCATCCCCCGACCAGTCACACTCGCCCTGTGCTCCATGTCATGATCGGGAAATAACGGAAAAAATCATATCAATTCAGTGTATAAATAAAGGACAAACAATTCGTACGAAAAAGTCAATAATTTACCTCGTTTTAGAAATTGTTCATACGTAGATCAAGCTCTTGTGTATCGAATCAACTGAGATATATAAACTCCGTATGCAGGTGATGAAGGTATATTGCTGCATAAGGAAGAGAAGTTGACGATATAAAATTAAAATCATCATGTTATCACAGAGCTTCGTCGTTAGATTACCATTAATGTCTTTTTTCAAGTAAAATATCCAAATATAAAACAGATATACATGTATTTCAGATTCTGTGGTATCTTTTATCAAAAGCTCACTAGGATATATCGTATCGACTTAACGCTGAACACGACCTGTAAAGAGGCATAGCCATTTTCGATATCTTTATCTATGAAACATCAACACCAGGGTATACTCTTAAGATTCGTCACACCTGACCGCATTATTGTCACGGGTATTGTCATTGAATGACGACCTGTGTTCGTGCTGGTTATCTTGCATTACCTTTGTTTACATTTTATTGCAGTTACATGCATCTGTGTTTGTTTGTATACTGCACTGGTCTGTACAACTATAATTGTAAGTTTCTTTGGTATCTTACTTTGCTGCATTAGAGGAAGTATTGCGTTATTATTGTCGCTACCAAGTGCTGTATAGCATACGTCCGTCTACACATGTGTCGACTGATTACACTGAAAAAAGAAGACCTGTCCTTTATATAGGGGTTTGCAGGTATAACAATTCTTCGAACAAAAATGGCGGACACATTCCATTAAGATTTAATGGAAATTACAATTGTAAATTAACAATATGTCGTCGATGTATCTAAATGTCGAGTTAAAGGGCACAGCAAGTGCTACATGTATCTTCTTTTTTCAAACTCAAGCATCTTTTTATTATGGACATCAGAGTAAATGTGTGTATAATCAGAATGTTTTTAACAAAATAATTTTGCTTATGACCAATAACAAGGTAAGTAAATTTACGAGTTCCATTTTTATTGAAAAAGCAGCTGTCAAGATAAGATACCTAATACTTATAATTGATACATTTTCAGCTGTATCAGAGAATAGTATTCAATTATTTCTTACTAGATATGTATGAAACGAACGGATTAAAACCTATCCCTCCAACTGTCCAGATTTTCTAACAAATTTAATATACATATGGCAATATACTTTCAGTGTAGCCAAATGTAATGAGTCACTGCATTGGCTAATGTGTTCAAGAAGCAACCAGAACTGACATTTTTTTTTACTTCGTAATAAGAGTACAATGTCATGCATATTAATTTTTATAAATTAAATAAAATGTAAAAAAAATTCTTAAATATCTTAATTGTAACTTAAAACAAGAGGGGATCATTTCACGATACAAATGGTAATTGAGGTTGTCAAACGCACATACAAGAATTAAACTTTGAGAAGTAAAATGTCGACCAGCATTTGAAGCATTATGTTATCAAATACAGTTTAAATCCTTTTTTTCTAATTATTACAACACTGAAATATTCAGATGTAGTTTTATATGGGAATCGTCACTTGTACATCATTCATTCAAAAGATGTTGTATGTGACGAAGTAAAGATGAAATAATTAGATTTGAAAGAGAATTCAGTAATTTACAACATTGCATACAATAATATTATTGTTTGAATTTTGGATCCCTAGAAGAAATAACAAGACACTCAATGACCCAGTTCCTGTTTTATTTAGCTGTCGGATACCACGTCCGCTCAGGGACTATGTCCTGGTCATTTCTGCAAATCATGATTATACACCATGCACATATCGCTAAGTATTTATGTTTTTACGTTTTTGAATATTTAATATATGATTTAGATTTAGTTTCCAAACATGATTTCTAAGTTTTTTGTCTCAACTTAGAGACTTCTACTTTTTTGCGTGCACGACTTGTAATTTGAAATTGCTTCTTTTTGTGATGCTAGCTTACAAAAACAAGCAGAAGATTATGGTCCTAAAATCAATGTAACATGTGAAATAAATGAACAAACACACTGTGATACCGAAGTTGTCTTATGTAATAAATTTTGAAAACGAACTACGCATATTTCACCGATAAAAATTTAGTAAGTACATGTATGCTTTATTTCATATTTTTTTTACGATCAACATTCGATTGGAATACACTTGTCAAGGAAAACAATGACAATGTTTACATATCAAAGGAAAACATACAGATAAAACAACTGAAGTAACATCGTGTTTATAGAGGTACATGTAAATGAATACGCAGGCCAGCGTGTATCCATCGGGGCGTTCACAGCCAATATACCCAACATCAATTTTACCTGAGGAAAACTAAATTTTTTAAGCATAATTAAATTAAATATATAATGAAATAGAAAAAGCAGCAGGAACAAAATTAATATTATAGATTCTTTATGAAAATTGGTTTTCCTGAATACGCGACGAGGTTTAACATCTTTTTGTTCAATTTTTTATAAACAAATATCTTGAAAAATATTCCTAACGAGTAAATTTAATTTCCACGGGTGATAATCAAACAAAGTAGGTTTTGTGTATAACGTGAAATAAAACAATACATTAATGTGTGAAAAGTTTGAAAGCTATATGTTCTAGATATAACAGGTAAAACAAGCATTAAAAAATCTAATACGGTCTTTTTATTTTGTCTATTTTACAATGTCCAACTGAGAAAAAGATGGACACATTTTCTTGAAAGTATAGACCTTCATTAATTAACAAACAAAGGGTGTGATAAAAATTTATTTCATATTTGCTGTTATTGTTTAAAGTACTTTATTCGTTTCTAGTAAAAAAAAAATGAATGTTAAATTAATATATAATATAAATTAATATAAAAAATAAAGATGTCAATGAGAAATGATTGGATTGTTTTTTTGCTTAATTGAGTTGCATTCATATAGAAGGTTGCGTAAACAATTGTATAAATTATTTTAAGCATATTCCTTTATTCCATCAAATACTTTTTTTCATTCGACAAATACTTGATCTAATAAGTGACTCAAAAAAATCCAATTGTACGCACTTCTTACTTTAACTGTTTAAAAACTAAAAAGTAACCATTTTACTCTACACGTAGATCCTAATAAAATAACAAAGAAAGATAATATTTCATTTAATTAAATTTCATTTTAATATTATAAAGTCGGTCACGTGATCAATTCTATAACGCCTCAAGGGAGCTAAAGTCGATTCACAATATAGATGTTATATAGCTCACAATAAGTTATGTTATCAGTTGGAACAGACAACACACACTAATTCTCTTCCTTCAACATAAGGTGGACATTTCAGAGCGCCACATCTGGCCTCTACAGGATAAAATAGGTGGCCATTTCTACTTGTCTGGCCGCCATCTAAAGCATCCGGTTGCTTGTCTACACATGAGTACGTTGTTCCAGCATGTTGATTGTAGAACCCCGCCATAAGATAACCTTCGTACTCCAATGTCCAGCCTTTATAACACGTATTTCTTGCTGTAAATAATTGTCAAAAAAAATATATTTATGTATTTGTAAGTTAAATGGGTATTTCCTTATGAAATTCACACGTTTATATGTACTTAAGTTCTGTTCTGTACAAAATAAAAATAAAAGATTCAAACCAGAAAGGATACATTTATTAGATTTTAAGTGCCATTTATTATGGTATCTAGCTAGGTTAGAAGAAAGTGATCCCTTAATTACTATCCAGATCACACATTATTATACACATACTTATTCATAATTAATAAATATGAAATATACAGGGATGTAGTCACGGGGGCTTTATCCGGGTTTTGTTGTTTGTTTATCTGTAATTAAGATTTTGCCTATCTGAGAGCTTCTTGGAATTATAATTTTTGTAATATGAAATAGTTATATCATAATTTGAATTTACGTGAAATCCCTAAATGCCATTTAAACAATAAAAATGACTATTTGTAAAATAAATAAATAATTTTTATCAATTTTGAATTCTCTATCAGTTAAATCTCACAACAATCCCTACTTCTTGTAATTTGACTCGGTGAGGATCCTGTATATCAAAATGTTCTTAAATTAAACTATCAGCGAAATTCTTAAACAAGTAGTTCTTCTTAATTGATTATCAGAGAGTTTCCTCAATGTGTATCATAATTCAGTTTCAGTGCAATCTTCATTTGTCTAGTATCAATAATTTGTCTAACTTTTAAGAACTTTGAATGTATTACATGTACTAGTAATTGTATTTGGTCGGTTTTTACATTTCACCATGAAATGCTGTTATAATTCAAACAGAAGCAAATAACACCATTAAGTTTTCTTTATGCAATTGCAACCTGTAAAAGGACCCTGGAAAAGGATTTAGAGTACTAAATTCCCTAACCTGGAAACACTTTCACTACCGATCTACTTCGAACAAGACAAACAGCACACGGTACGTCGTGATTATGGTACGCTGTAAGGTAGCCCGTGAAGGTGTATGTTTGGTACTCCGCCCCGTATACGTAAGCCCTATCCCCATCATTTCCATCCGTATAGATCCCCCACTCTGGATCCCTGGGTAAACAAAGAGTGTCTACAGCCGCTCCTCTATCACCCCCATGTGATCCTCCGGCAAATCCTATTACAAACATGAACATATTTATGTTCTTTTGATTTTGAATAACTACATGTATATAGGATATCCAGCAATCACAAATAATCTTAATCAATGTATTTGTGTCTATTGAGTGTTATATACATGCGTATAAATGTATAATTTTGATAAAGACAACTTGTTAGTTTTTTTTATGTACTTATGATTAAGGTACTGTTTAAATATTATAATTGATGTACTGGGAATTTTTAATTGAAAATTAATTGTTTAATTTGATCTTCAGAAAGGGCACTGCTGCACGTGTTTGTAATTTCTCAAACTTAACATCTCTATCTCCATCCCACGGTATCAATGCTATTAGCTCATAATTGTTATCAGGTTTATGGTCAGATCTTAGACTGATTTTTCTTTGAATTTGTTATGCTTATTCAATTTGTTTCCTGTGTTATAAAATAGTGTCATTGAGCTTTCCCCTACCTTTACTACTGTCTTTAAACTTGTTTCATTGGTTCATTTATGAAATGTGGGAGGAGTTGTCAAAGATGAGACGTGCGTGTATTTTCTGTAATTCACTCTCACTTTTGGAAAATTTGTGTAAAAATGTTATTTTTGGACTTGAATAAATTCTAAACTTTATCCAGGAATTATTATTTCAACAACGTGATTATCATTTCAAAACAATATAATAATTACATGAGATAGATCTAGACTTGGTGGATTTACCAGAATAAATTAATTCTGCATTAGGAGGACACGTTTTCTTCCCCCATCTTGTGTAAACACTGCTTCTATATCTTGTATCTGCAAAAATTGAAAAAAATATCATTACATTGCATTGTTTGAGATGTGATTAGAAAAAATTATGTCATGTGACTAATGTGTATGCTTAACTAGTCAATTTGTGATTAACTGATTTTGTTTTAAGCTTAGCTAATTAATTGTTATATAACTTTTTGTAATATGCATTATAGATTATATTCTTAGTCATTTGTTATTTGAATAAATGACAGTTTCACACAATTGTGTTTTTAATGATTTTATAGAAGAGGTTAAGCAAAAATGAGCTTCGAATAGCCAGAATTGTCTTGTCGCATTATCAGGAAAATTTGTGGATATGAATAAAGCTTATTTTAAACAATATTATACCACATAACAAAACTTGGGACCGTTTACGCTTTTATACATCGCTTTGTAGTTTATAGCAGCGTAAACTTCCCCAAAATTTGTTTTATCGTATAACATTGGTTCAAATAAGCTTCATAGTAGACATTATGACACAATTTTCCCTCGAAAAATGGCTTAACATTTAGCATATTTTGTAAGTGCAGTAGTATGCGTTTCACGTTACACATTGTGACGTAGGTATCTTATGTTATATGATATAAAATAAATCTTTTATCAAACCTAATGACATTTTACAGCTAAATTTAAATTATGTATAATAATATATAGATTCTTAAAGTTAAGGACATATGTATGACTCACGATAGCGCACCTTCATTTCGGACACCACCATTCACTTTTCCCTCCAATATTTTCACAGCTTTTACGATTTCAGTGGTGAAGCTTTTGAAATTTTGTTTTAAAGCTTCTACCTGATGGGACGCTTGTCCTGCTAAGTAACCCTGTAATATATCTTTACAACTGGTTGTCTGGGTATCCCCATTTACCGTGTGAAGAAGCAATAAAATGCAGAAGGAAAGCCCCTTCATCTGCGAAATAAACAACAAAATTTGATGCATTAATTGATATTAATATATTTTCTTGAATGATTTTGATTTGAAATGGCAATTCACAATACCTTAAATATAGAGAAATCTTAATTTTTCTTTTTTTTGCTTAAGTATGTGATTTTTTGACGTTTAATAAAAACATGTAATTCAATTCTCTAAATTTATTTTTACAAAATGTTTACCTTATGACATACGATTGCAAAATTCTTCCACTTTACTTGGCAAACAGTATTCAGGTATTCAATTTTAATATAAATCTGTGAGAAATATTGCAGATTGATGAAAATTGTGCTTGTTTTTATCATTTATACATACGAGGGTTGTAAGAAAAGATCACAGACAAGTTCTATTGTGAGTGCACTATATCCATGAAAACGGAAAAAAAACTTTCGAGATAAAATATTCACCTATTTCCAAATGATGATAAAAAATGTAGCATTCTCTGGTGATCATTAAAAGATAATGCTATTTTAATTTGCTCAAACATCCTTCACGGAGCATGCTTCTTTTTCGTACGTTTACAAAAAATGACTCTTTATTGATATAAAAATGCACAATTGTAGCTGAAAAAGATGTATGATATTTTACCTGTCGCTAAAGAATTCACGAAACGTCACTTTTTAAGAGAAAATTTGAAATAAATTTGAGGGTTTTATAGTCATTTATAAATGATCAACCCGGAAAAAAACAAAGCCATAAGTTGGAACTTCACCGCAGGTGACCAAAATATGTGTGTAGACAGGAAAACGTCTTAAAAGAGACTAAAATGCTTCAAGATGCTCTTGGGAATTTCCTACACGTACAAAGGACAAAAGTTTTCATATGGTAGTAGCTTTATAAGAATGGAAGAATAAACATTTTGAATGACTAACTCAATCGATGCCTCAACACCCTACTTATCGCATGGACGTTGGGCCTACATGATTTTGCATAGTTTCCATACCTTACCGATTTACTGCATAGACATTTATATTAAGATCTCAATATGTTCCAAAACGGCACATATATATATACGATTATAGAAGGAAGATAAGATGTCTTGATACACATATTCAATTTTAAAGAATATAATAGACAAGAAAAGTCTGAAGATTTAGTGAAAGATCTCTAGAACTACGAGAAAGCAAAACGGGTTGAAATCTGGCTGTCACATCTTTTAACGTGAAGTGATTGCTCCAAGAATTCAAGAATCCTATGATCTTATAGTGAAAATCGATGTAAATTTAAAGATTTTAGTAAATGGACCTGGTTTTTTACATACTAATAAACAAAAGGTAGGAATTTATTCAGACATAAGTCATACTTTATAGTACAAAATAGATTTTCCGTAAATCAATGTGTCCGCAAACTTTCTTAACAACATGCGTATACTTTTAAATATAAGGCAACATTTTATTTCATGCTGAAAATTTATTATTTTATGCTATGAATAACGTACCGATATACTATCATGTGGGTGTGTAATAAGGAGATTCCATCCTGAGCTTTTAAACAGATTTTAGTTTGGACATTTATTTCTACAATTCTACATCTTTTTTAAGTTTTAACACTAAATCTGGTTCCTTCAATCCAAATTAAACTACATCCAATGAATTTAAATCCATTCAAAAAAGATTCAGCAAGAAACTACATTTTGTGGCGGAAGTTTCTTTAATCAATCAAATGATCAATTTTCTCCTTTGATATAATTACAGAACTGTTTATATGCAGTGAAATGTTTTATGCAGGTTATGAGATCTCTATTTCATTATTTTGTATAAATTCCTTCAATTCATTTTGAAAAATACGGTAAAATATATTTTGAAAGTCCAGGATAAATTTGAGGCAACTGTTGCATTAAATAAACACCTTTTATTGATATCTAAAAAACTAACATCATAGACCCCCTCTTTTGTTTTCCTTCTCTGAATATATAAGTTAACTTAGATCAATTAAAACTCTATGATAATTTTCTTGCTCGTAAAATTTTCAATACCAGAAAAAGCCCATTAATTCCTGATCATGACAAGGAGGACACGGCGGGTGTGACCGGTCAACAGGGGATGCTCACCTATCCATGGTTCCTGATCTCACCTCTGAAGTTTTGGAGGTCCGGGTTTGCTCTGCTTCTATCTTGCATTGTTTATGGACTTTGATATTGAATACTGTTCATTATCTCCATATCCCTCATGTACTATAGCGCCAAAAGTAGTACATTGACCTCCCTTTTTTGTTTTGATTTTTAATCAAGATATGTGTGAAAAAACTAAAAGTATACTTGACAAAAATTTCTAGGACTTTGAATATCAGAGTCCAACATCGTTAGGAAACAAACTGAAGAAGAGGGGAGATGGTAAAAAATGAATACCTACAATTATGACAAACACTATTATAACACGGAGGATACTTTTCTAGACAGAATGGATGGACTAATCACTGAAGCTTGCAAATTTAAACTCTTAACTTTTCGGACGATAATGTAGGTATGCTTTAAGATTTCCTATTTTGTAATTGTTAATTTGATCACTAGCAGGCAATAGTTCATTAACAGTAGACTTGTCAGGTCCAGTTTTAAAAGCTATCTAATTGAAAGATTTCTTACATGTAAACAATGGGCTCTTAAATCAATGTTACTCGTGGTTTAATACATTTAGTGTTTTGTACTTTTAATGCGTTTAGTGGTATAATTAATACATAAATCAAATTGTTAAAAATTAAATGATTTTATTTGTTAGTGTTCTAAATGCTGTTTCATGCAATCAATGCTTCCACGTTTATGCATTTTTTTCTCTCTCAAAATTAATACTTGCATCAACAAAGATTTGAAATTTTTACGATTCAAACCATGCAATCTTAGTATAGATGTAATGCAATTTTTTGATATCATGTTTTCTCACAGTTCTATAACTTATCTATTCTCTAGGAAATTGTGGCAATCATTATTTAAAGCCCCTGTTTCATTTCAAAGAATTTTAAGTACTTGATTATGTTAATTCAAAGCATCTAAATATTTTTTCATAGAAACTGCACTTACTGACAACATTTTAAAAAATATGATTATTTTATTCATTTTCTTAACTACTCGTATAAGTTCAACAAATATTTAACGACATTACCTTCAGTTGCAAATAATCCCAGTGATAGTCTAGAGGACATAAGAAATTAAGATTTTTTCCACAAATAAGAAAATTTTTACCCTAATTTGACTCTAAATGTCCATTGCTAAAAAGGACAACGCATTAGAAAGTATTCACAAAGGATATAAATCGTTTGCAACGCAGAATTTTATTTATTGATCTATCAAATAGTCAATTACATTACAACCATTCATCTAATAAAACTAATTTGCTTGTAATTAATCCACAGAGTCACAAAGAAGACATAGGTCGATCACATATGCACTCCGTCTTTGTCTTATTTTTAAAGACTTTTATGTAGCCTATAGCTACTTCCGGTCCAGTGTTATCTGACCGAGTATGATAGATGTAATTGTAAACATACCTAAAAATATGCAGATCGAAATTTACGTTTTTTCTGAAGTCTATTTTAGTGAGAGGCTATGACAGATAGAGTTGTTGTTAATTAGAAAGACCTAGACTGAACTACATTTTGTACAGGTCGTGATCTGGTGTCCCTTTTCTCTGCGATTGATTTGAAAATGTCTCATCATATACCCACTGGTTTGTTTTATCTATCAGTTTGAATTATTGTAACTAACAAAAAGCCCGGCAACGTTAGTTTAACTTACAATGAAAAAAAATGTGTTTGAGACTGAAAACCATTGTTGTATTTGACATTCAATAAATCACAATAGTATATAAAAGTGTTTACAAATACTTAACTTTGAGAATAAAAAAAACATGGGTGATTATGTTATACAAGTATCTGTCATGAATTCGCATAACTATACAACTCTTAAGCTTTAGAGTTAAACAAAAAAAAAAAAAAAAAAAAAAAATAAGTAACTGAGTCTGATAGTAAAAATGAGTTTTAGTCCATTTTGAATTTTTGTCAAAAAGTGGAAGATTGGGCGATATCATCGTACCCGAGGGGATTAATAATCACCTTGCCCGAAAACACAGTGAAGATTTGTTTTGTTACATGTTTATAAAAACTTAAAAAATCAATAAAATTGTAAAAATTGGTTTTATACGTCGAATATGTTTCTATGGATTTGTTTCAATGATCTAAGTGCGTCCTTCTAAGTTAAACAAGAAAATCAAAAACTACTTTGCTACGATCAAATTACCGGTAAGTGTCCGGCAAGAGATATTCACTCCTCCATGGCACCTGATCCCATCTCGTATGTTTTGGAGGTCTGTGTTTGCTCTGCGTCTATTTCGTATTGTTTAAGTAGACATGTGATCTTGAATACTATTCATTAACTCCATATGTTTTATTAAAACACACTTTAGAATGATAAAATACTTCCTTCCATATGGTTGCTTTTAAATTATTTACATCAACTAGTTGATGCCCTAATGATGCTTGAATTGCAGTGCCAACAAAATACAATAGAATTTGCGAATGTTGACATTAAAAAAAACATGTTTATATCCTTGTGTTACAGGCATTTTAGGTAGGGGTATGTATTTTTTTTTTTATCAAAAGAAAAATAAGTAACGTCAGGTGCCTGACATCAAGTTTTAAGTCACAATATTGCCCATGTTTTAGAAAGTTTACGTATAAAACAAACTCTAGCTTATCGAATCAAAGGAGAGACATAAACAAAAAATCTAGATGCAGGCAGAGGGTGTGACCGGTCAGCAAGGGATGCTCACTCCTCCCTGGCACTTGATCCTACCTTTGATGTTTCGGAGGTCCGTACGTGTTTGCTCTGCTCCTATTTTGTATTGTTTTATGGACTTTGATATATATTGAATACTGTTCGTTATCTCATTATCCTTCTCCATGATAGGAGGAGCTGGAGACAGAGAAGCTGAAATAATCACGTATCACATGCTTTTATTGTTGGTTTTCTATATGCGTCTTTCTCTGACAAAATATATAAAAAACGGAAGAATAACAGAACAAAAGATACGCAATGCTTTTATAATCATTCAAATTGTGCTTTTCGTCTAGTGTGTATCAGAAGATCACAAGAGAATTAAACTTTAAAACCCGTTTGTCTCACTCTTTTTAGTTAAAGGCCATTCTTAATTTACCTTTAATTAAAAAAGAATTTACTACGAAAAAATATTTTTCTACAGCAATTGGGAATTTAATCTGGTCATGTTCGTCTTTCAATTAACAAAACTTTCAGAGGCGTATGAAACTGATTAAATTTGAACACAAGGAAGTGATGCGGGTGAAATTAAAGTGTATACGTTTGATAACTCTTAAACACAAGGACGTAAAATACAGCTCATTTCAAGGGTTATCAATATACATACTTTCACATACTGAGGACGTATATGCATTGGTCTTAGCATTAATTTTCTTTATTGTTCATAAAAAAAACGATCACAACATTTGTGTGATTAAAAAAAGCTATGAGTCTATACATAGATTTTTTTTTATTTTTAAAAAATAGATCAGTTTCCTCTCAAAAATGCAAAAAATAGAGAAAAAAGTAGTAGAAAATACCTAAAAAATACCCTAATATTAGTGCAAAAGTAGACAAAATCAAAAGAAAATACCCAGAATATCAGTGTTAGTCTTCAACACTCGAATTTAAAATTATGGAGAACCTGTTGTGATGCATGTATACACTAAGCATGAGAGCCCTCATCAATCTCTGTATTGTAGATGGTTGAAGCATGTTTTCTACGAACACATTCTGTAAATAGATTTATGATACAGAGTGTATTTTGAACGAGGAAACCAGGATGTAGATATTAAAGGAAACCTATTGTATACATGAGGTCAAACTTCAAACTATATTATGTTCATTATGTTTGTGTCCGGTCTCGTGGAAGTAAAATGGCAAATCTGTATATAACAGGTGAGTATGTACCCAGCGATATTTATGCTATATATCTTCCTGCATGACCATTTGTGCGTACTCGAACAAATGTTGTTCACCATGTAACAAGACAAAAAAATCAATCAATCAATAATAAGATGGATTACAAACCATGAAATATGTACGAGGGTTGTCCAAAAAGTTCGTGGACAAATGCCTAATTTTCTTAAAGTCCGCAATGACAAATATGTACGATAATACCTGAATATAGACCATAATTTACATGTAGTAAACATACAAAAAACTAAACAATGCGCACTATAATATGGTCCGGCAAGTCTGACGTAATGCTAATTTCATGATAACATCAAAAACATGGATTTTGAATTTTTATAACATGTTCATGGACACGCGCTAATTTTCTATATCATACAAAACTGCCAAGTGAGTGCAATAATATTTATGTCTAGACCATAATTTATTTGATTTTTAAAATTCAAAAGAATATACACGATAACTTAGAAGCGTCATTAATATATACACCGTGTATACACAGGCTGCACAGTCCAGTCCGTCGACGCTATATTTATAACAACTTCATGTATAAGATACCTTATTTTCATCAAATAACAGTGATTTCCACTTCTTGTACATGTAGTGTCTTTTAAATTTTACAAATCGTTGAAAAATCGTATACACCAATTACAAATCAACAGACAAAATATATTCGAAGGATTTCAAGTTGTTTGAATAAATATTTTGTGTCTGATGTCGGTTCAACCATATTAAACCATAATTACAGTATATGATCGAATGCTGTCCCGTTCGGATGGCCAACGTCACTTTTTCTGTCAATTTTTGAAACATACTTCTTGCGGCTTTTGCTTAATAATCTAAATATGTATATAGCAAGCCATACTAAAAGTATAAAAAATTAAATTATGATAACCGCTGTATTTTTGATACGCTTAATTTTGATGAAGCTTTGAATCATTTTATAACGAAAATAATAATTTTAATCACAACACTTTATTTAAAAGTTTATGACATTTTAACCGTGGTCCGTGCGCACTATCGGCCACCTTTAATGACCACGATTATTACAAAACATAGATTTTTATAACAAATATTTTGGTATACAATAATTATATTTTGAACCATTAATTTTGACAAATACGTCATTTTCCTAGAACTTTTTGGACAACCCTCGTACATGTGATACAGTGTATCTATGTAGTTTGTTATTATCTCTTTTTTGGATGACATCTTTTTTCTCTGTTTATACACATTATCATAATAAAACTACGCATCAATGTTATCATTATTCTTCATATAGGGAAGAAAGCTCACTGTTTAGCCTAAACATAAGGGGGAAGTTTAACTTCGGGGAAAACTAGCTCTTCAAAACTGATCTTCCTGTAGAGTTACTGTATATGCATAGAGTGCAACACTTTGCTGCTTACTTCAGATTACATATGCTTGCATGTAGAGGTTTTATACATATATTTCAATCCTTAAATATAAGAAAGCTACTAAAAACTTGATTTAGTTTCAGGAAAATCCATTTCCTTTCTGTTTGGAACAAACTTTTCTTCTGTGAATACAATTTTAGGAGCATAAAAATTGCATTGTTACGTTCCAAATTTACATTCAGTATTCATTAACAGAAGATTTGTTCAATCCAATCATAGATACTTAATTTATTATCACACCTTAACTTTTTTTTATAGATCATCTTGTTCACTTTAGACAGATAACAGTACGCATGTACAATTCTCAAATAACATTCGTTATAATAGTACGTATTGTGAACAGAATTTGAAATCTGCAGTCACACTCACAGATAACAAGTGATTTATGTTCATGGGTTCCTCTTTATACAAATCGTCTAATAAGTAAACTTTCTTTTCTAGGTTTTTTGATTTATTATATAGTTTTCCCGAGTTTTGTATGCACTTGACAAAAAACGAGGTAAATATATTTAAGCTCTTTAGAAAACGTTTTGACACTAACAAAAATCCCCAACAAATAAATAATAACTCGTTTGAATCTTTTCAAGTACACATTAAATTCTAAATAAATGTGTTAGTTATATTTCAAGTATTTTTTTTAAAATTTTTATAAATACCGGTGTATATTGTATCTGCTTTGTGTTATTTAAATCAGCTTACTTTTCCAATAAACATGTAGGAAAAGGAAATAAAATATTTTTCTTTTAAGATATACTAAAAAATCTTTTTAAGATTGAATGAAAGACAATAATTATATAACTATAATTTCGACGAATTTTGCATTTATTTAAATCATGAATGAATGCTAATAATACTTAAATAAAAAAAATCTTATCGACATTTAATATCGTGTTCTTTTTTACTTTCCTGATGTATCATATGAAAAAAAAAATTATTTATCTAAAATTCAATTCCAACATGTAGAATGATAGATTGGCATGAAATTTAGAATAATAACTTCAAATATTAGTACTTCTATGGTAATCGACGTTGAGAAAGTTCTACTATAGTTTTGAAGTTATTCATTATCAGAAACGTGAAACGAGCAAGAGTTTATTCAACAAAATTATCAATACAAAGATATATTTTTCTTGAGCAAAAAGTGCTTTGTTAATACGTTGGGCATTATTTCAAGAGAATTTGACTTACCTTACCTAGCTCTCTATATATAGCACGGTAGCTTAGGGGTAAGACATTAGCTTTATGAACAGGAGTACTGGGGTCTCTGATCGAGCCGCCTGAAAACCTATGACAAAGATTGAAACTGGTCTTTAGCTAAGCGCCCTGAAGACAGATGTGTTTCAAGGGTCTTACAGTTATTTTTTTATGCAATATCCAATGTGACAGAAGGCGTTGGTTTAAAGAAGAATTTAATCCTAAATTAAAAAAAGAAATATTCAGGACAAATTAAAATTAAATTTGAATTTCTTATAGTAAATTATGAATATGGTGATATATGTAGATATATATGAATAATATGTTCTCTAATTTGAAAGAAAAACTAATTGAAACTAAAACATTTATTTTCGAAATGCATCTTAGCATAGTTATTATTGATTTTGCAGATCTTACTGTTTTGAAGAGATTGTTTCAGTTTTTCAAAAACATGGCACGTGCAACATCCTTAAAGAAAATTTGGAGCATTCCTTCAAAGGTATTAATTATTCCATATTCCATAAGAATGTTTAGCTGAATCAAATAAATATAGATACCTTAAATAAGTGATATTTTTAATATGCCAATAAAGAAAAAGGTATTCTACCTTCATTGTGTTACAACTGTAACTGTATTCTTGGCATTTATGTATTTGTATGCATATCTAATGCTAAAACAATCGAAGATTCAGGTCGGGTATATACTCGTGGAATTTTTGCCCTGTTTGTCTGTCTGTTGGTCTCTCCGTCTAGCTGTTTGGTTTTTTTTTTCAAAGCTTTGCCAATACCTTTTGATTGGTTGGAGGTTTGGATGATATATGTATTTTTTGTAGAAAGACCTTTCACTGGATACCAACAACCTTGACCTAGGGACCTTGACCCTATAGATTTCTGTACTTAGGAAAAAACTTTAAATTTGGCTATAACTTTTGAATAGTAAATGCTAGGGCTTTCATACTTCACATATGTAATTCTTGAGAGAAGACCTCACATTGGATACCAAGAACCTTGACCCTTTGACCTTGACCTTGGAGTTTGACCTACTTTAAAAACACAACATTGACCATATTTTTAGAGGGTTAGGACTAGGGCTTTCATACTTCACACATTTATTTCTTGTGACAAGAAATTTTATTTGATATCAAGAGCCTTGACCCTTTGACCTTGACCTTGAAGTTCGACCCATTTTTACACAAAAAGTTCCAAATTTTTACTTTGGCCCTAATTCTTTAATGGTAGATACTAAGAATATCATACTTTAAATTTCAATTTTTTTGGTAAGACCTTTCATTTAAAAAAAAAAAAAAAATGACCTTTTGACCTTGACCTTGGAGATTTCTGTACTTATACAAAAAACTTTAATCTTGGCTATAACTTTTGAACGGTAAGAGCTACGGCTTTCATACTTAAATATGTAATCCTTGTGAAAGCAAATTTCCTTGAATATCAACAACTTTGACCTTGTCCTTGGAGCTTAACCTATTTTTTTTTTTTTACAAACTTTAACCTTGGTCATAACTTTTGAACAGTAGAGGCTAGAACTTTTATATTTCACATATGTGATCCTTGTAACAAAACCTTTCAATGGATATCAAGAACCTTGACCCTTTGACCTTAGAGTGTGACCTACTTTTTACAAACTTTAACCTTGGCCATAACTTTTAAACGGTACAGGCTAGCGCTTTCATACTTCTCATATGTAGTCTTTGAGACAAAGCCTTTCCTTAGAAACCAACAACCTTGACCCTTTGACCTTGAACCCGGAGTTTGTCCTACAATTAAAAATGTCAACCTTGGTCATAACCCTTGTACAGGTGGTGCTGGGGTTTTATATTTCACATTTGTATTTCTTGTGAAAAGGCCTTACTTTAGGTACCAACATATTTGATCTGCATTTGAGAAAGCTTAACCTTCGCTATGTTGCCATACGGGGGCATCAGTGTTTCACAAACACATCTTGTTTTCCGATTAGACCTACTGTTGGGTGCAAATCTATTTGACCTTGAATTTGAAATTTGACGCACTTTTGCTAAAAGATTTCCAATTTTTAGGTAAACTCAGGTGACCTATTGCTATCCGTTTTCGTCCGTCGTCGTGCGTCGTGCGTTGTGCGTTAACATTTGAACATTATCAGCTTCTTCTCTGCAACCACTGAACTAATTTCAACCAAATTTGGCACAAAGCATCTATGGGTAAAGGAAAACAAAATTTCATTATCCTTGCCCCCTTGGGCCTGAGGGGTGGGGCAAAAACCACTAAAATTAATCAATCTTTAAAAATCTTCTTCTTAACTCCTGGACATCAAGCAGTCAAATTGTTTGCATGATTGTAATCAGCAATGAGTTCTCTACCAAAATTATGAAATTCATGGCCCTGAGATCAGGAGTTCTAGTGCTAGGGCGAGGCTAAATAAGTAGGTAGTGAAAATGCATTATTTCTTTGAAAATCTTCTTCTCTGTTCTTGGGTATTAAATAAACCAACTAAGTACATAGTTATGATGAACAAGAGTGCTTCTACCAAAATTGTGAATTTTATGGCCCCAGGGTCAGGGGTTCTGGTGTTAGGGCGGGGCTTTATCATTATATAGTGAAAATACATGAATTCTTTGAAAATCTTCTTCTCTGCTCCTGGGTATTAAATAAACTAAGTACATAGTTATGATGAGCAAGAGTGCTTCTACCAAAATTGTGAATTTTATGGCCCCAGGGTCAGGGGTTCTGGTGTTAGGGCGGGGCTCTATTGATTATATAGTGAAAATATATTAAATCTTTGAAAATTTTCTTCTCTGCTCCTGGGTATTAAGCAGATGAACTACCTATATAGTTATGATGGACAAGGGCTCTAATCTTCCAGAATTGTGAATTTCAAGGCCTCAGGGTCAGGGGTACCATAGGGGGGGGGGTGCTGTACTTATACACTGTATACGGAAAATGAATGAATGGTTTGAAATCTGCTCCTTGGTATTAATCAAATATCAAGGCCTAAGGGTCAGGGGTTCATGTGTGGTAGGGGCACTACTGGTTACTGCTGAATATTACTGATTAGTTGAAATGCATTTTTTGTTCCCCTACCCTGCGTATGGGTATTAAGTAAACAAACTAAGCAACTGCTAAGTGAATTGTTATGATGATCATTGGTGCCTCTTTCAAACTTGTGAATGCCATAGCATCTGGCTTAAAACATGAATCAAATTCAATCACTGGAAAGTTGTTGCATAATGCTCAGGTGACCTATAAGGCCCGTGGACCTTTTGTTAAACCTTGTTATAGCTTTTGAACAATTAACATTTTGATCATCACATTAAAGTTTGTACTACATTTTAAAGACATTCATCCTTGGAGATAACATTTTAACAGCCAGTATTAGGGCTTTCAGGTGTATTCCATATAACAAAATTTCTTTCCGGAACTCAACAATTATGGCCTTTTGACATTCACCTTGGAGTTGTACTTAGTTTCAGAACCTTAACCCCTGGTATTACTGTGAACTGTTTATGTTCTGATTTTTATATTTACACACGAAGTTTTTTTTTATGGAAAGGCCTTAAAATTTACGGTACCAGAGAACCGTTATTTTTTTTTTACCTTGACCTTGAACAAGAAGCTTGCACAACTCTCAAAAGAACATTAACCTTGTCCATAACTTTTGAATGGTCGCTGCTTCAGCTTTCATATTTCACAAGTATATGCATTCATTGACAAAAGTCGATTTATTGGATAATTGTAACATGTTTGATCTTTTAATCTTGACCTTCGAGTGTTACTTGCACTCGAGAAACTCAAACCTTGGCAAAAAGCTACATACCGGAACTATCAGAAATAACAACACATCTTTTCATTAATTTTCAGAAAGAAAGAATTCAGTCCATTCTTGCGAGGAACTCTGCGATATTTCTTTGACAAATCCGTCTTTGAAGAAAGTCAACATAGCCTCTATAAATGTATCCCGATTCGGATACAACAGAGATGTCGATTTCACCATACAGACTGGCAACTGTAATACAATAGACATGGCAAATCATTTCAACATAATCTGTGGACAGACCAGGAGCGTAGGTAAAGATGTTGATATTGTCCTTATTGAAAAGTGTTATATATTTTCAAAGATAAAACAATGTCAGTTTAATTGTAATTGTGCATCCTAATTCTTGCGTTCTAGAAAGCTGAAAAATTTTCTAAATTAATAAAACCTGCATATGGAAACAAAGTCCATGAATTTATGACTATTTTTTAGGGATGTCAACGAATAGTTGACTATTCGACTATCAGTCGAATGGACCGACGATCGAATAATGAAACGGCGTGCAAGAAAATGCAAGAAAATGTGTTAGTGTACAGTTAGTAATTAATTATTTCTCAATCACTGACCTTTTTTGTTAATTTTGTAAATTATGCAGCTCTAAACTTGACTTTGAAAATTATTAATTGGACTTGTACCAATTATATATTCACAAATACCTCTAAGAATGTTCAAATGCTAAGAACACTCCATAGCTGTAGAGTTTTCGATAATCATTAAGATAATAATCTTAAATAGTATGCTAGGATATACTGAACTTTAAAAACATCGTGCTGCGTGAACATTCTGTAAGCTTACTAAAATTAAACTGACTGAATGTGACGAGAATTCGTACATTTTGGAGAATCGCTGGTGTAAATCTATTTCATTTCATTATCTATGCAAATCTTTGAGATTCGGTGGGCAGTACAGGAATTTGATGTTACTATTTACATAAAATTGGTCTTGCTTGATTATAGATAAGCTATCGGTGAGATTATTATTTTTTTTAAATTCTGAATAGTCGACTATCATTCTAATAATGCAATCGAATGTTCGTCTAAGGAAAATGAACATTTTGACATCCCTACTATTTTCATACAATGCTTCGAAATTTAATAAACTGATAAAATTAAGTGGAGTGACTAACATATATAGTTGGAAAAGCAAAATATTTTTTTCAGGTATAGCAATACATGTGTATAAGAATAATTGCTAAGAAAACCTTGTGTTTTTGATAAATTTTGTCTAATAATTATTCTCAGAACCTGCTGGGGGTCTGGTGGTGGTGGAAGGTGGCGTTTTTACACCATCCATTCGTCAGGTGCCTGTGGGTGAAATTGTAAAACCTGAGGAATAATTGCTTTCCACATTTTTATACCAGTACCAATCACTATCATTTACTTTGCAGAAAAACATATTTTCGAGAGATGCCATGACAATCGTCAGTGTAGAAAAACAATTGGGGCTACATTATGTGATAGTTTGAATGGCAGAAAGGTTTGTCAGTATTCCCAAGGCTACATGTATTTTGACAAAAGATGTATTCAGAGTTAGTATTTCATTTACACATCCAGTTAGTTGAAAAAATTGCAATGAAACTTCTTGAAATTAGGAATGGTAGACCAGTAAACTTTTATTTTAAACACATAACATGCTAATTCTTTAGGTAGTGTTTCTTTCAATTCCACTTGTGAGTTGACAGACCAGTGCAGAATGAAAACTAAAGGCAGTGCTTGCATCAGAAAGAAAAAGAAGACAGAAAGACATGTCGGTGTGATGTTGGATTTCAAAGAAATGAGAATGAGTGCATATTAACAGGTATAACTGTCAAAATGGTATTTGAATGGTTTGAATTCATATTAAAACATCATGTTGAAAGCAGTTGTGGGTATGGTTTAGCTCTTATTCGGTTTAAAAAATGATCACTGAAATGATAAAAAATATATAATTCAAATATAACTTTATAATGAAATTTATATGTACATGTACATGTATAATTACCTTTTGAACAGTGGTAGCAGAGAGACGCGGTTTTTAATGCGAAAAATTTTGATAACGAAAATTACAGCTAAGCAATCTGAAAATTTTCACAATCATAAGAACTCACTTTGTAGAAATTTCAATGACATTTTTCTAATTAACTTTTAGACATATTTGACTTTCTATTTAAATCGAAATACAAAAGAGTCAACTAAATTTTACCGAAAAGATCAAATTAACGCAAGAACTGTTTTATTTTAGAACACAATACCGGTATTAATAAATGTAAGCCTATCAGCTATTAACGAGTCATTTTAACAACAGTAAGAACGTTGACAAGAAAGACAATGAAATTTAAAAAAAAATTGATTTCTTCTACATAAAAAACCCAATCAGATACATAATGAAAAGTTTATATTTCGCAGATGGATTTTTTAATGTATAGTTGTAAGATATGATTTTACAAATGTTTACTTATATAAGAAACATGAATATAGCGATCAATTATCGAACTCAAAATTATCGAAATATTATTTGTCCTATACCGGTTAAACCGGAAATGAATATAGGTTTCCTCTAAGTCTGTGCGTTCGTTTGTCTGTCTAGCTGTCCGACCATCTATGAAACATATGGAAATAACGAACAGTATTCAAGATCAAAAGTCCATAAGACAATACAAAATAAGCAAATAAGCACAGAGAACACACGGACCTCCAAAACATAGGAGGTGGGATCAGTTGCCGTGGAGGAGTGAATATTCCCTGCTGACCTGTCATACCTGCCGTGTGCTCCTTGTCACGATCGGGAAAAAAAAACCGAAAAAAATCGGTCGTCATTTCAGTGTATTAATAATGGACTTACAATAAGTATGAAAAACGTCAGCATTTGACTCAATCACAAAGTATATTTGCTGACAAGGTCATTGTATCGACCATAAAACTTGAAATGATGACTTAAAACGCGACAGCTAAATTTGCTGTTTCATCAATTTGTTTGTCAATAATTTACCTCGTGTAGAAATTTTTCATATGTAGAGCATGCTCTTGTATCGAATCAACTAAGATATATAAACTCCGAATGCAGATGATAAAGGTATATTGTTGCATACGTAAGGAAAGTTGACGATAGAAAAGTTAAAATCATTACGTTTATCATAGAATATTGTAACGTTCGGGTTTGATGAGTATTGATTTTTTAAATACCAATAATAGATAAATTGTTTTGCTGTCACCAGTTGTAAAACCCCAGTCACATTTCCAAAAACGACCAGCGGCCGACGGTTTTTGAATCAAAAAATGAGATTCTTTGGGTGGCAGTCGGCAGTTTATCGGCTGCTGCCTTTCCGATTTTGACCTCTTTTTTTTGTCGGCCGACCAATTTTGTGTGCATCGGTCCAAGTTATAATTTTTATCACCGTCGGTGGCCTATTTCTTCAATTTAAGTTATCCGTCGACCAACCTTTGATCATCGTTCGACCAACGGCGGTCAGTTTATTAAGTTGGTCGTCCGTCGTTTGACAATAAGGGTGTCCAAAATTTCGGCCGACGGTTAAAATCAAACTGTTGCTCAGAGCTGGATGATTGAGCGATGATTTGCCGACTTGTGAATATTAAACCTATTAAGGATACATAACACACAAAATTTTGATGAATGGATTGATATATATATATTGAACAGAAATAACATAAATTATTAATCCGTATGATATAAAGAAATCTTAAATATTCTTTGCTGCTTAGGTATGCGCCCTTTGTCGTTTTTATGCATTTCTATACAAAATTTTGCACACATTTTTAACATTGAGTCAGAATCTTACAAAATTCTGCCACTTTGCCTTGCAAACATTACTCAAGTCACCTATCTCTCTAAGTCACCTTATGTTCTTTATCCAAGTCATCGGGGTTCCTAGAAATTAATGTGACTGCTTCATGTCGCCCGATACTCGTGTCTGCCGATCTTGTTCTTTCAGCCGACGAGACCAGAAAAATTTAGTCGCCCGACCATCGGCTTAAATGTGACCTAGGCAAAACGTGAAATTTTATTTCAACCTGTTACCTATGAGGCAGGTTACAATAATTGGGTTCGAAGGTACCTAGTCTTGATTTAAAGAAGTATATAAAACAGTTGATATATATGTTTATTATAGCATCAAAGCATCAAAGAAAACAAATAATTTTGAATAAATATCTAAAATGTTTCTTTTGATAGTAAGTATATTAAGCATGTGATGCGTAGATAGGAGAGTTCTTGTGCTAAAGCCAACCATAATTAATTATAACCTATGCCACTTAAAAAAAGTCAAACATATACTAATCTGTGCTCGGTGCTAATCGGTGCGACTAGGCACACGGTACTACCCGGTTGGTACTCATTGTCGTCGGTGCCACAATTAATCTAAGCTAATCTAAAGCTCAATAAAATTGAATTAATTATTCTAAATTTATAATCACAAGCTTACACAGTCAACAATACTAAAGATGTACTCTAATAATTTAAGAAACAGACTTTGGTTCAGATCTCGCACCTATTAGTCAGTGACCATATTTTAATGCTAAAAAAATTTTAAAAATGTTTTCTAAAGAATTCACATCTTTCTATAATTCTAAATAGATTTACTAGTTTCAAAACTTATTTTCTAACCTATCTAAAATATGAATTTACCTTATTCCTGCCTGGCACCGACTGACACCGACTTTCTCTGACTATCACTTATTTTTCCGGAGGAGATCTGACAACGCCTGTTAGAGTTTGCTGCTTTTATAACGTGACGCAGTGATGCAGTGACTACGTCATATGTAAAATGTAAAACTCTAAAAGCAATACTTTCATCAATAAACGAGGCTAATCAAACCTACTTATAATACATCAAACGATCTATTATATCAGTCTATGTTTTATGATTATTTTAAGTTAATTATTTCTAGAGTTAAATATACATAAACAATTCGTCTGCTTACAATCTGGATATATAATTATCTCTACCATACAGTTTCTGCAATTAATACATCTTATGCATTTCCAGTTTGTCAAAAAATCCTTATAAATAATAAATAACTTATTGCTAAGTTCTACAAGACTTCCATTCAATCATAATAATTCTAAGGACACAATTTTAGAACATATATACTGCAGGTTAACGTAATGCACGTTTTACTGATCAAAATTAAACACTGACGTTCATCGTATCAAATGTAAATATGCACCAAAGTTCTACAAAGAAAAACGTAACCAGGAAAACATACATCCACAACACTAAAGGTTGGCTATGCAGGCGCAACAATATGACAGAGATATCGACGACATATTGTCAATCAACAATGGTTTCCATTCCTTTGTAGATACGATGTATCTTGGTGAGCCTGAAATAAAAATACTAAAAAGTCTGACACATCTGTTTCATACTTGGATATTTTACTTGAAAAAGATGTTAATGGTAGTCTAACAAACAAGCACTATGATAAATGTGATGACTTTAACTTTTCTATAATCAACTTCTCTTACTTATGCAGCTATATAGCTTCATCACTTGGCTAGGGAGTTTACATATCTCAGTTGATTCCATCAAGAGCATGCTCTACGAGTGAACACTTTCTAAAACGAGGTAAATTATTAACAAAGAAGTTGATGAAACAGGAATATCAACAGTCTCGTTTAAAGACATCATTTTCTAAATTCAATGGTCGATAGAATGACCTTGTCAGCAAATAACCTTTATCATTGAGTCAAATGCTGACTGACATTTTTCATTCTTAATCAATTTGTTAGCCCATTATTTATACACTGAATTGACGACGGATTTTTCCCTTATTTCTAAAACATGACAAGGAGCAGACGGCGAGTGTGAATGGTTGGCAGGTTTGCTTACTCCTCCATGGCACCTGATCCAACCTCTGATGTTTCAGAGGTCCTTGTTTGCTCTGCTCCTGTTTTGTATTGTTTTATGGATTTAGATATTGAATACTGTTCGTTATCTCCATATCCTTCACTTTAAAACAAATTTCCAAAAATTCTAGAACAAGAAGAATCAGAAAACACATGTATATAATAAATGAGTCGTGCATTTATATACAATAGAAAAGACAACTGTTGATTGGTAGGGACTTTGAATCGGACGATAGGTGGTCTGCGAAGAATAAAAATATACAATGTAGTGTACTGAAGTAGTAAAGTTTTCTGTTTGTATGGAACGTTTTGAGCTATCTTGGGAACTTTGACTGTCAAAGGAAAATTGTTTATCCGAATGCCTCCAAAACAGGTATTCAATAAATATAATAGCCAGTCAAATTGACGGTCTACGTAAAAACCGAGTAAACACGTATTCGACCGATGCATGTGGTATAGTAACTCCAGTAAACATAATAAATTCATGATTATATACATATTCATTGCTTTACGTGCTTTATAACAGAAACAGTGAGTCTAGCTCTCTTCTAGCTTAAAAGTTCCCAAGAATGGAGCCTAAAGCATCTAGACTAGTATTTCATACTCGTTCCTAAAAAAGGGTGTTCAATATTGCAATTGACGTTCGATAAGAAACAACCAGACTTTCCATTGAAACAAAAAAATCAATTCTTTAGATGCGCTTCCTTGAAGTTAAATTTTCTCTAAAGAGTTTGTAGCGTCATGGAACTTGATCTAACTTAAGAATTATAAGCAAACTATGTGTCAAGTGTTATAAATAAATTCGAGCTCTAAAATTTATTTCCGCCAATGCATTCCCACTTCCGTTTGCGATAAAATATCTTTGCACAAAATTTTCTCGTCATGATCAGCGATAAACTTTAAAAATTCAAAATACTGACAGCATAGCTTATTGGTAGCAATTTTCCTTTTATTTT